TTTCCACTGCAACCTTCTGATTTGTTATGTGTACCATAACAATTTATATTTAACAAACTCTCTGTGTAGACTAAGGTTTTATATATGGTTTTATAAAATTGGATCATGTCCTTGTGTTAGCCAGTTCAAACAATTTTCTTCTTATAAAAAGTTTAAAGCTTTCTTTAATTAAATGACCTTTTAATTTAAAATTTTAATTCAATGTTCCGCTTATTCTTTCCTTCCAGAATCAGACTCGAATGAATCAGATAGTATAGTTATGGATGGAACTGCCTTAGAATCAGATGTAAGTGGTAATAAAATACATGTCACTTATTTTTCTCTAACTCTAAGGGTTTTTTTTTTGGTTTTTTTAAATCTGTTACGGGTATAAGTACTACTGTTATTTATTGACAGTATACATTATTTTCATGATGGCATATTTTGATATATAATTTTTTTTTTGTAGGGCTCTATATTTGTTATTTTATGACTCATAGGACTTATGTTGGTCAGTGTCACAGTATTTAAACTGACTTTCTTTAATATTTTCTTTAATCTATTTTCTCTAGGAGAATTGGGAAGATATTGAGTCAGACATGGAATCCTAGAGCGCTGGCACACAGATTGGTCAACTTTGTCAGTTCACAGTATTTCAAAATGAGAATCATTTTACTTAACTAAAACGTTATGGTGAAATGTCCAACTGTGCTGTGTTGTGAAACTTGCTTTGTTATTAAAGAAAATGATCGCAGCTGGTAAACCTCACAATTGTTGGTAATCTTGCTTTTGTGGGTCTAATCGATTGGTTGTACACATTGAAATGGAAGTTAGTTAAAATCATTTCTCTTATAAAAGGTTACTGCCTCTTGCTTATTTATCAAAGGATTAGACTTGCATTTAAGTTTAATTCATGAATATGTCTAATGGTAATTAGGTTTCTTTTTTTCTTAGGGATCCCCTAAGGTAATAAAAGTGAAATAAAATCTGGTAACAGCGAGTCAGGTTTGCCTGCTCCTATATAATCCAATTGGTTCTTGTGGTCACAAGAGATCTGCTTCAGGGCTTGACAGGGTGTTTATTAAGAAAACATTGCACCTTCTTCAGTGAAATTTAATACTGTATCTTATTCTTAAACTGGTCTTAAACAAGTTTTGGGCGTATATCTTTGACAGGCTTTTTAAAACTTTATTTGCAATCAATGTCTTTTTATCAATTGTGAAGATAAGCTTATGGTGATTGTAATTGTACATTTTGGCAGTAATATTTTTACCATCGCAATTCTCGTTGTAGACATGCAGACATAATCCATTCTACGTAAGCTTCTGATGTGCCCTTTTAGATATAAATAGCTACACTTGACCAGTACCGGTTGTGTAGAATTTTTAAATAAGTGATGTCATTATTGGCATTGGAATGTTTTGGTACATTCATTTTTAAATAGTCAAATAAGGCGTTAACTTTTAACCCTTTGTTGCTGTCAAGCCCTGCAGTTTTATTAAAAGATTTTCAGGATGGGGTGACTGGGAATACTGTGTAGTTTATTACATAAATGTTGAAAAATGTTATTAAATTGCATTTTACAAAGTGTACAAGCATCTCCAATGAGAAGTGGATGAATTAAAAACACATTTATTATTTCTGAGGCTTTCTTTCATTTATATAGTGTTATATTCATATATGTAACTATCATGATATATATCAATTTAAAAGTTTGACACTATCTGTTAAATTGAGTCAAAGAAACCAGAAAGATAAATATTTTTGGAAATGACCATTTGTCCTGAAATAATGGACTAAAAAATCAGTTGTATTCACTAGTTAAGCAAAGCTATATTTAGGCTATATCAATTAAAAGCATTGACTTTTACTTTGAACTACTAACTTAAAAAAGAAAATCATTCAACATATGAGTAGCTATCAATTAAGCTGAAATTTGCAAGCCCTCCTTTTTTGAAACCTGGTTTTTACATCTGAGAAATATGTGTTTTTTAAAGTGCTTGTGGCAATATTAATATGTGGTAAATAAATTAATAATGCATTGCTTGTCTACTCAAGCTATAAATTGTGTACTGGTACAATTTTGTTCAACCCGAAATTGAACAACTTTACTGGTATTAAGGATTAGACTAATTAGATGTTTTTTTATCAGCTACACTGCTTTTGCTCGGTATTTTATTCTACTTGGCACAACGCGTTGCTTTTTTTTTTTAGTGACATGGGTGGAGTATTAAGATCTTAGCATGGATCATCTGTTTGCTATTGCAATGGTTACATTCCTCTGTATTGTTTACGGTACGTTTGTAAGTGCAGGGTCTATTGCAGAAATGTTTTTAAAAATATAATTAATAGCTACCCGTAACGTCTTTAGCTAAGTCTAAGACTTGTCTTGTATGTCTCGACACTACTTCCTTTATGTTTCGACATTACATCTTGTATGTCTGGACACTACTTCTTGACAATAGGGGGCCTTAAATCATGTATGATAAATGCCTTCCTAATACATTCCCATCTTAATCACCAAAGGGCTTAAACTTAATATGGGAGGATTTTTTTTTTTTTAAATTTTTTGAGAGTAGTGACAGTGTAAAAAAAAAAAAAAATTACTTTTTTAATTCCATCCATCGGCCCTTTACAAAAAATATATATTATGGTTTTACGTCATTTGGGATAAAAGATAAATTGAGGTTTTACAATGCATAGGCAGGCAGTTACTGCTCGTCTGTCAATGAAAGCAGTGATCAAGATTCTAAACTAACATGGTATCTGTTTTGTGTTGGTGCATGCGCAAAGATCCCTTTATGATAAATGATCAAAACTGAATAATGTGCGCTAAGGATAAAACATTTCACACCTCCTCGCGTAATTAACGATACCATTTTCACCTCAAACAAAGCTTATGAAATAGAGTGGTATACAACGTGGACTTATTTTTTATTCATTACAAATGTGAGCTGAAAAATTACAAATAAGAACACTACAAAACAATCATTTTTTAAAAATGAAAAATAAGGGGGGGGGGGCGAACTAATTTAAAACAAACATTTTAATCTCACCGGTATGTTCCGGTGTTATAAAATTAAACGTTAAATTTTGAAGGTGAACAACGGTAATTCAAAATTGCCTGTTTAAAAGTATTAAAAGATACAATTATGTGCATTGGGTTGACCTTTTTTGAGTCAAGGGACATTTGATCAAATAGATTAGCTACAAAAATATGCTGGAAATCGCAGGCAGAGGCGGAGTGTTTATATCTATTATAATTAAATATTATTTTTAAAAACTTTACACAATTAAATAGCGAAAACAGCATTTATTTTTTCAAATAGCGACATGCATCGCAGCATCTCTGGGGCCACAGATTAATGAACTAAGACCTACTTTGTTGTTACGTATGAACTTTACTTGCTTAAAAAATGTATCCGAAAGTTGAAAGAAACAGGTGGGTTGAATTTTATTAGGACAGCTTATCAGGTAATACAAAGTTGGAGGCGGTGTATGTTTTAAAAGACGTCTCACTTAAATTAATGACGACAGTGAAAATTATATTGTAATCGCTAGACTTTAAAAATTGTTAAATCTCGCAACTTAATTAATTTATAAAGTAACTCGGTCATAATAAAAAGCTGGAATTAAACTAAATCGAAAAATGACATATATCTATGTATCATATTTGTGACGAAGATACCTCTTTGGAACTATTGGTGTACAAAAAAAATCGCCCAGCGTAGCATGACGTCATTTATGGGAGAAAAAAATATCAATGCTTCGTACTACGAGGCTATTAAAGGTTGAAACGTACTGTTGTTTTACAGTGAAATTGTGAAGAGAAACACTGACAACACTTCAAACGATAATTTTACAGTTTATAGAAAATCAAATGAACTTTAAACTAGGGCTGTTAAGAAAACAATGCGAGCCCCGGTCCGCATAGAAAGTGATCCAGCATTGTGCATCTATGGACTTGAACTTGAATAATGGTAACGCAAATTATAATTTTTCAAGTCAGTTTTCTTTTAATTCACTCATGAAAATAACACGAACCAAACGTGATTCAACAGTGCAATGTAAATCAATGTACTCATGACATAGTCAAGGCTGTTTCATTTGCCATGTAATTAGTGGATTATTGTGTATAGTATTGTGGAGTATTTATAATTGATTCATTATTAAAACATAAAATTATAAATATGTTATTTGTCCATCGAAATTGATCAAGACCATTATCATCGGATTCGCGCAGGGGATTATTCTGACCGTGGGTGCACAAATAGGTGATGGGACCGATTCTAGTACCATACGAAATATTGCAGTTAAGCCAGGAGTTTCTGGTTTGCATTTTTACCTCTTGAGCGGCTATTTTTAAAGACTAAAACTAAAAAGAGGAAGATAATATTAAAATATAAATTTAGACGGTTGAGATGTGAGAAGTTTGTGGAAAGGGGGCGGGAATTTTGTAGTGTGACACTACTTAAAAAAAGGTATAAAAATCATTATTTCTACATGAAATTGATTTTTTAAAGTCATTTTTAAATTATTTTTCCCTGTCACTCAGTCAACATGGCGGTTTTGGGTAAAAAGGAATAATAAACATGTCTAAAGCAGAAAATGTTCTTTAAAGGAAAAATACATTTTAAAAAGAAATGTGTGGCCAAGAAAGTAATTAGCTCTTTTGGTTTATAAATTATAAATATAATTCATTGAATATGCCGAGCCGAGATGTATCCAAAGTGGGCGTTACCCTGGCCCTGGCCTTCAGACAGGTATGCAAAAAGGTGAGTTCTGTAGTCTGTAGTTGTCTATGTAAATGAATCGCATAAATTATATTGATTATCATAATGGCTTGGAAATTATATATTTTTTTACAGTTAAATTTTGTATTGAAAAATTAGCTCTTTATAACCGAGTTTAGACAGATAAAATGTTAAGGTTCGATCGGCTCTCAGCTGTTTCCCGTAGAATGATGTCATAACTTCTCATGAGAACCAATGAGACGAAGTCGTTAGCTTTGACCTCCATGCGCAAGCACCCTCGTTTTGGCGTGGAGAGATCGGCCATTTTGTTGGCAGAAAAGAGTATTACAGCTATATAATCATGATGTTTGTGTGTGAAGTTTTTATTGGATCAATATGAAATGGATAAGAAAGAAGTTTCATATAGTTCAGATCATCATCTTTTCATCGTGGTCGCCGGATAGTGCTGCGATCACGAAGTATAACATTTGGTTGCAATAGTTTTGAGCCAATCTTTGCCCTAGCGACCCGTTTCCGGGCTTGATCGACTAGTGACAACAAATCCACTGTCTTCCAAAATTTAACTTCTCTATCGGGCTAGCTCTATAGAATTTTTTTATAAGTTTTGAAGCTACTGCAGGAGATATAGTTTACGTATGATACACGTTAACACTTTCCCCAACCTGTAGAGCTAGCTGACTTTAACTATTCAAGATGTCTGCAAATGCAAGAGTACCACCAGCTCCACTTCACACAGTTCATGAGTCAGTGGTGACTGATCGTTCCGATCGGCATGTCAGTTCCTTAAAAACGAAAGAGGTAAAGTCAATATTACTTATAGGGCTAACCTTTGCATATTAAATATTTTACTACATCCATGTTCCCTCAATAGAAAGTTAAGTCTGCTTATATCTTTTTAAAATTTTACTTTTATTTTAATTTGAGACCTAGGCTAATTCATTGCTTTATAAAAAAATCATAACAGTAATAGTCATAAAGATTATTCTGTAGTGTAGCAGTGATTAAGGCATGCCCTACACTACAGTTTCAATGACTACAGTCTTAGTATGCAGTTCAAATTTAGAAATTAGCTTTAGGAAGTTTAGACAAATAAAATTTTACACTAAATTTTATTTGAAAAAAGCAGTTGACTTATACTTATACCTATACCTATAACTATAATGGGTTAGGGCAATAATAAATAAGAAAGGACTAAAAGTTCACTAAGCATAAGCTTAATATAAAAAAAAATCTAATGACAATACTTAACTCTTTCGCTGCTGAATTTTTTTAATGACAAAATTATGCACATATTTTTTTCCAAAGGCAAAAAGAGTGAGAGATTGGGTTTATTTAAAAAATATTTTAAAAATTTTGTGGTTTATAAGAAGGCTAAATTGGGTATCAAATGAAACATAATTGCATGGGCTAATAGTATATGTTTATAAACTTATTTATTCATTTATCTAAAATAAGTAACCGAAAAGTAACTTAAAATGTGAAAACATGAAATGCAAAACTATTTTTTACCCTAACCCTTTGATGTAGGCATACATCATCTTCACTGGTATAACTCAAATCATCTGAAAACTACTACTGTGGAATCATGTGATGGATCTAAATCATCTTCACTATCAATAGAAATATTATGAATCATTTCTAAAGCTTGCTGAGCTGTTAATGTTTATGAAACTCACTCACCCCACTAGGCCCTGGTGTAGCCATAGCCTCAGTATTGATAACCCAAAAAAATACTACTTCAAATAACAAATAAACCTTGCTTTCACTCATAAACAATGTAAAAGTATTATTTTAAAAAATTCAGCTACTTGGAGAGGGAAACCAAAATTAGGAACAAAATGTTTAATTTTAATGGAATATGTTTTGAGAAATATTTTCATTCCTAAATTCTACTGCTCTGCCTAATCTGAATGCCAAGTCAGTATCCCTAACTCAAGTATAAATAAACCCCCCCCCCCAATCATTTAGCTCTTTTAAAAAAAAAATTCAACTTAGTTTCAAAGAATCAACTTTTAAACACTTTATTGCAGGTTCCACCAAAAATAAAATCTAAATTTCCTAAATTCTACTGCTCTGCCTAATCTGAATGCCAAGTCAGTATCCCTAACCCAAGTATAAATATACCCCCCCCCCCCAATCATTTAGCTCTTTTAAAAAAAAAATTCAACTTAGTTTCAAAGAATCAACTTTTAAACACTTTATTGCAGGTTCCACCAAAAATAAAATCTAAAAGTAATCAGAAAAGTCTAAACCCATTTTTCCAAATGCTGGAAAACTTTGCCTCATTTTAAATATTATAATTAACCACCAATTTAAATATTGATTCAAAACATTCCATCGGCGATCGGCATATTAATATTTAAAAAAAATAAAAGTTTACTCTAGTAACAATCCAACAATTTACAAAAGGGAGAGAATTTATAAAGAAACTCAAAGAGGATGGCTGTACTAAATACAACCTGCACAATGTATCAAGTAAATCTACTAAAAGTTTTTGTGATAAGCCTACCAATATCTGTTCTCTACTCTATGCTACACCTAGCTTCAGTGCATTCTAGTCTAAATTTTAATTGGTCTCATTTGCCTCGCCACTTTAGCAGTATATATGTTATATAATGTAGCATGTCATTCAGCACAAATAATCATAAACTTGATTAAATTTACTTAGAGCCTACTTTTTAGGCTACTTTAATTAACTAAACAGATTTTGCACATCAAAGCCTAAAATTAAAATAATAATTAATCAATACATTGCCAAGTCTTACAATAAGCAGCATTAAATGGCTTCTCATATGAGCTTTGGATCCAGTAGCTTTCTAATTTTGGTAGGATAAGTAGGTTATGATTTTTTTAACTGGCAAGACTAAGGATATATTTTTTAAAATTTGAACTCAGGGTTGACTTCCTCCCCAAGAACAGCTAACTCAATAACAAATGGACTATCAAGTCTATTTTACCTGGCTATTTCACCATTGTAGTGGCCAAATGAATGTGGTGGAATGGTACCATACTTAATTTTTGTTGAGCAAAGCATATAGTCATTAGAGATTCAAATTTTAATGACAATCATTTAAGTTGCTTCATTAAAATATTGAAATTGTTTTTCACAACAGAACACAGATGAAAACACCACTACACCATCTACAAGGGCACCACCCTCTAGATCTAGGGCAAATGATGAACCTCACATAGGAAAATACCGCCTAATCAAGACAATTGGAAAAGGAAATTTTGCGAAGGTGAAACTGGCAAAACATGTTCCAACAGGAAGAGAGGTAACTTAAACTCAGCCATTGCCATTTAATCATTAATGATGGATCTTATTGACTTTTTCTATTTTGGTCCTTATTCAAGGTTCCCATACAGCCGGAAAACAGGAAATAGTCGGGAATTCGTTGAATAATTTTCCCGGTCGCGTAAACCAGGAAAATGAGCTTTATTAGTAAGGAAATTTTCCGACTAGTCGATAATTTTTAATGTAAAAAATAATAATACATTTGGATTCCATGAAAATCAGCAGTTATCACCGATCTCGTCTATTTTTAGTCTTTCAAAGGCTAGCGGTTTCCCCTTAACTGCGCATGCTTTTTGATCGAAACTCATACCGTACTACGTTTTTGATAGACCAGAAATATTTATTTTCTGTTCAGTTCGCCGATCAAGAGATGTTTGGGTAAGTAAAGTGTAAAATATAATTAATAATTATTTGAAACTAGTTTTTAATTGTGAGGTAGCCGTTATAAATAGAAAACCACTCGCACTGTCTAAAATGTCTAAGCTTAGCGTACTTTATGTCTTAGTAAGTCTTAGTCTAAATAAGTTGATTTTTTAGGGTATTATTCGGTGTAAATTAAAAATAACACCGCCTATGCCTAATTCGAATTAGCAATTCAATAATAGTAATAAAAGAAGCTTTTGGTATTAGTGGTAGTTCTACCCCATGACCACAGTAGAGGAATTTGATTTTTAAATGTATGCCTTCATTAATTTATCTACAACAAAAACATATCCATGTATTTTTTTTTTTATTAAAGCTAGGCCTTCTAAATTTAAATAGTGATTTTGTGATATTATTTTCGTACTAGTTTACTTTACGGCTGACTCCAAACTTCATTTAAAAGTTATTAAAACTAGTTGATTTTTTACACCCATTCAGTGAGCCAGACATAACTGTATACATTTAGTCTTTATTTATAGTTATGCACCCCTGTACTTTTCACTTCACGGTATTATTACTTTTATTACCTAGGCACATTTGCGTAGGTCAAGGGTTGTTGTTTTGTTGTTTTTTTTTTGGGGGGGGGGGGGGGGTTTAACTTTGGGGGACCAAAGGCCTGCGGAAAATCCTGAGACTATGTCGTTTCGTATGTGATATGCCTATCTTAGTATCTCTTCTAACTGTATTACCGTACCTGTTTTTTGTTTTTATTTATATTTATGCCCCCCTGTACTTTTCACTTCACGGTATTATTATTTTTATTTCCTTGGCACATTTGCGTAGGTCAAGGGTTGTTGTTTTGTTGTTTTTTTTTTGGGGGGGGGTGGGGTTTAACTTTGGGAGACCAAAGGCCTGCGGAAAATCCTGAGACTATGTCGTTTCGTATGTGATATGCCTATCTTAGTATCTCTTCTAACTGTATTACCGTACCTGTAGTTTAGTATGGTTATAATATAGTCTTTATGATGTATGCCTTACCATAAATTATAAACCTAATATGATAATATATTTTATTTTGTTTCACTGTTCAGGATCTAGGCTCAATAAAATAATGCCCAACAGTTCCTTAAAAGGCTGATGGTTAGACAGCAATCATGATGATTATGATTAAACAAGTCATCACTGCTATACTATGCTGAAAATATTGATATCAAGTAATCTAGGGGAAAATTTTTACAAATTTCAATCATCTGATGAGACTTCATCTATCTAGTTCAACTTCAGCTTATCACTTCTGAAACTTTTCAGTCAAGATCCCAGTTTATGTGTCAAAATATGAAACCCTGCGTGGAGAGATTTTATAGACACTAAAGTGTGTTAACTCTAACTATCCATTTTCATGGCAGGAAGAAAACATAAACTCCAAATAAGAAAAGATGCTTTCAACTTGTGGTAGCTATACATATGTTCTAAAATGCCCTAAAGAACAAATTGCAGAAGTTTCCCTTTCACTTTTAAAGTAAACATCAACAATTTTGCAAGTCTAATTAAATTGAACACTTGCAATTGCTAGGAAATTAAATAAATATTTACATGTATACACCTTCATTGCTTAATTTTGTTAATTTGTGATTTATTTTTAATGTTGCTTTATATGACAATTTCATGGTTGTTTTTATATTATCAACAAAAATGCTGCGTTGCGTTTGTCAGGTATTTTTTTGCTTTCAGTTGGGAAAAGTAGGGAATTATGTTTTTAAAAAAGAGTTGGAACCATGCTTATGATATGCATATTTAAAAGCCCTATGTTAGATTATTCTTTTTAAAAGAGCCTATCTGTAACTGTGCCAACCCCTTTTTTTGCATGCAATTGCCTCGTTAAAGTTACATTCTTATTAACATAACAAGTACATTCTTTTTGGCATGTCCTTACCTGTAGTACAAACTGTAACAATGTTGTAGCTCATATGATGACTGCAATTATACCATGTTATCTCTGCATAATAAATATTTGAAATTTCTTTTAAAATTCTCATTTTTCATTCATTTTGGGATATATTTCTTTTTTAACAGGTAGCAATAAAGATTATAGACAAAACACAGTTAAATCCCTCAAGTTTACAAAAGGTACTTATTTTTGTTACATGAAACAGGTTAAAATTTACTTGGTTATTTTTTTTTTAAAATTATGGAATAATATGATTAGGCCTTAAATAAAAAAAAATTATTAATTCTTTCTGATTTTTTCTTAGATGTTTCATTGTATGTTCCTTTAAATTCTCTATTTACAAAGATAAGTTGTATTAAATCTTTTTGTTCCTCAGCTCTTTCGTGAAGTGAGAATTATGAAGCTGCTGGACCATCCCAATATAGGTTAGTTTCAATTTCTGCTTTAAATAGTAAACATTTTAATAATTGATGCTGTTTTACTTATTCCAGCCTTTTTTTTCCCCAATAAAATAGTCAATTTTATTTTTAAAAATGATTAAATCTAATTTTGTCGGAGATAATGTATTTAGTAAGTAGTATAAGATATTTCTTTCTGTCTTAATAATCCCATTAAAATGTATTGTATGCATTAAAGGTTTTCAATCCTCATGGCATTTTTCTTTAAAAAATTAGTTCAAATTCTAAGAATTAAACCTTATGAAGATTTAAAAATAAAACTTAAATGTAACTATGGTAAAAGTAAAGGAAAAACATTTGTTATAACACTGATGACTAATAATTCTCTCAATGTTTTTAATATTATACTTAAATAGTAATTCTAAGTTAGTTAGTTTTTTGACATTTATGGAGCTTACATTTCTGATCAAATGTTCAAAATCAAATAAAGCTAGGTTTATCTCAGGTGGGTTAATGGACAGAGAAATACGATTGGCTTGGGACCATCTATAATGATGTTACTTATGCACTGAGAGATGAAAGAGGGTGGTGTTGACTTGGAAGGTTACTGGTGTGCATGGGAGGGGTAAAGGAGGTGTCTAAATATTTTTAACGGCTAACACCGTCACTTGTGATAATGATCTTGATAACTTCTGGCTTATTCACACTAGAGACACCTATAACAAGTATTCTCTTAATGAACTTATTTCTTGATTCAGTTAGCGACTTGTTTCATTTTTGGCATAAACGCATTTGAAATATACGTGACTCACATTTTTTGTGACAGAACGCGCCATTTCGGTGTACCTGGCCCTTTTTTGACTGATTTTTAAAAAATTAAGTGTAGAATGATACCAAACTATATTCAGGTATATGCAGAAGTGCATCCCTGCATTTGAATTTATAAAAATTCTCGGAAAGGGGTTCAGCCTCCTCCCTGAACCCCACCCCTACTTTTGCTTGGGTGACTTTGGCTGGCATCCTCCATTTTTGCTTCCCCACTGCATCTTTGTCTATCAAAGTTGAAAATGACTGGCACCTTTTATTTACAATAATGCAATGTATATTAATCTACATCAGTTACCTGACTTTGGCATTAATGCATTGTTTGATTTTTAGATGGTAAATTACTATTCTGAAACTATATTGTACTATTTTGGGATTTCCATTTTAGCCAGGTCTGAATTAGCTTGTATTATTGCTTGCTACAGAATTTAAAAAAAAAGAAAGATATAAATATTACTGATGTAATGTCGTGGTCCACTTAAGGAACAAAAAAACAAATAAATTTTTTCACAATTGTTTTTAACAGGAAGGGGTGGGGGTCCATTTTGTATTTTTGAATATAAAAGAAATATCATTTCAAAAAAATGTCTTGATGAATAGTATTTATACATTTTTAAATATGTTTTATACTTTGTCTTTCAGTAAAACTTTTTGAAGTTATTGAAACAGAAAAGACTCTTTACCTTGTTATGGAATATGCAAGTGGTGGTAGGTAGTATTTTGTGCAATGTTCTCATACTTATTTCTATCTATTTGTGGTTTTTTGTGTGTTTTTTTTAAAATCAAAGATGGGGCTTAGTTATAAGTTTTCAATAACAAATATGTGGGATTACTTCAGGTGAGGTGTTTGATTACTTGGTAGCTCATGGACGAATGAAAGAAAAAGAAGCAAGGGCAAAGTTCCGACAGGTAAATATATTAATATAATTTTATTTTTGTTTGTATTAACAGAAAAGTAGTTTAAATGATTTTTTTTACCTTTTGCGGTAAACTAAGGTATTTGTCTCCCATTATAATGAATTAAACATTGGCATCTCATATTTGTTTTAGCCATTAAATTGTTAAAAATATTATTTTTTAATGACACATTATTATTAACTTGTTTGAATTCTTCCACACAGATTGTTTCTTCTGTACAGTACTGTCACCAAAAACACATAGTGCATAGAGATTTAAAGGTAAAGAATTATGGATATTATTTTTCTTGATATGACAGTGCTCAGTGCATGTGTTTAAATTGTTATGGTTATGGTAAGGCTCTTTATGTGCTTAAAATATATTAATCAAAAGTAATTTTCATTTATTTGGATCAATTAAAATATTTATCTTACAGACAGAGCTAAATAACAATATTCCAAGAGTTATGGTTAGGGTCTTAAATAATAATAACTAAGTGACACAACATCAATCACTAACACATTATCCTGAGCGGCTATTGAAAAAACAATTTTTTGACTTCTTCCTTTCACCTCTGGTTTAAAAATACTGAATTGTTTTTAATATTGATTTTATTTTAATAATCTTACATTTTTGTAGACTGCTCCTTTATCTTCCACCCCTTTAAATACAGGCAGAGAATCTTTTGTTAGACAGTGATATGAACATCAAAATTGCAGATTATGGTTTCAGCAACGAGTTTACACCAGGCAACAAGTTAGATACATTTTGTGGGAGCCCACCATATGCAGCTCCTGAACTTTTTCAAGGTGGGACAATTTATTAATTTTTTAAAACTTGAAAAAAAAATGTTACGTTTAAGTCTTTTAACCATGCGAATAGTATAATTTGAAGATATAAACTTCCCTAAAATTCACAAGTGTTTCTGTTGTCATAATAATCACATAATGACCTCAAAAGTGTTTCTGTTGTCATAACAACCACAAGTTTAACCCCTTGATCCAGATTTTTATGTCTATTAAATACAGTCTATGTCTAGCCTGAAAAATAATTTAGATTAACTGTCTGTACATGAGAATACTTAGGTCATGTCCTACCATGTGACTTGTAAGTTTCTGTCCTGGCTGCACCCTTAAGCTTATTTGTTATTTTTTAAAATAATAATATGTGTAATTAAAGTTCTATCCATAGCTAAAGGTTTTTTTTAATGAAAATTGTTATACAATCCTACAATGATTTTAAAACAATTTTTCTTCTTTTTATAATTTTTTAAAGTGTAGTGGACTACTAGCAGGCAAATTTAGATTGAATTAATAAAATATATTATAAAATTTGTTTATTTTTATGTCTGTTGGTGTTAATTTTGCTCATGAGCCCAGGGGGATGGGATTTAAAGCCAAGTTGTTTTTTGGGCTAAGATACAAATGGTTAAATGAGGTTTTAACATTGAGCAAATAGTGTTTTATGCCCTGAAAAATAAGTATATAAATTTAATTGCTTATCTAAAAGAAAGGAAGTATTCATTTAATTTTTATGTTTTGCACTTCATATATGCCCTTCATTTTTTCCAGGCAAAAAATATGATGGTCCAGAAGTGGATGTATGGAGCTTAGGTGTGATATTGTATACACTTGTCAGTGGATCTCTTCCATTTGATGGCCAAAACCTTAAGGTACAGCTTGTTTGGGATTTACAAACCATATCAGTGCATTAAAAATAAAAGTAATGTAATGTAGCATTTTTCTCAGCTGTATAAAATCTGTAAATGTAGGAATAACTTTTCTAAAAATGGGGGGTGGTTTGCTGCGTGCATGTGTGTTTGGGAATGGAATGTGCCGTGTGTGTGTGTCTTTTTTTTTTTACTATACAACCTTATGCTATTTATTGTAGGAGCTAAGAGAAAGAGTTCTAAGAGGCAAATACAGAATACCCTTCTACATGTCAACTGACTGTGAAAACCTTTTAAAGAAGTTCCTTGTTTTAAATCCATTAAAACGGGCAAGCCTAGAGGTAAGAATGTTATCTAGTAGTTTTTTCATATGTATCCTATTAATTCTGCTACCTTGGATTGATAATATATTTTATATTTAAAATCTTCCATTACAGCCAGAGATGCCTTAAGAATTCTTATTTTTAGAAAGGAATAAAACTTGTGTAAACTTTTACAACTTTTCTTTTCTAATGGTTTTGATTCCCCCTTTTTTAAAACCCATGAAAATTTTTTATTTCAAAATTGTATTTTCAATTGTTAAACATAAAATAACGTTTGGAAAGTGAAAAAAATCTGATGATTCTGTAAATTAACCCTTACAGGGCAGACGTTCATCTTTTTGCTAGCTGTGAACGGGCAACATTTTTCCGGTTTTTAGTAAGATTTAGGGTTATGTTAGTAAAACATCAAATCTAAGGTGTTTGTAAACAAATTTTTGTGAAATAAAAAACAAAATAAAGGAAAATGAATGCAGATTTATTATTTTACTCACATGTTGCCATTAATCCACCCATTAACACAGATATTTGCAAAATACAACATATTGTTTGTGATTGCCAGTCATCTATTTACTATTTACATAAACTGTCACAAAATCGAAGTGTGGGCACTTAAACACTGCTTACGCTGATATCACCAATAATATAATATCTAGTTCTGATATATATAGTCAATTTCGTGCAAAATCTCCACTATCACTTGAGGAAATGTCAAAATCCATTTTGAAAAACCCTGAAAACTACAAAAAAAAATCCTATCAAATACTTGTAACTGGCGCCCACACAATCAAGCTATCGGCAAAACGGGTTGTAAACTATTGGTGAGTCTTGCAAAGTCTCGGAGATTGCCTATTTACAACTCTTAGTTGCCCTTTAAGTGGTAAAGACGTTTTTGGCCGCTCTGCCTTGTAAAGGGTTAATGTACATTATAGAAGGATTCATGATGAGAAAATAATTATTCCTATATTAAAGTAAAAAATGTAGTGGTGGAATGTTACAAAATTCACAACTATTTATATATGTAGTTGTTATTAGTCTACCTGTCTTCTGAAAACCTACTTTAAAAAATATTTCTATTTACACATTTTTTTTTTTTTTTTAAATTAGTATCGATATTATTGTTTTGAAAAATATTTTTGTGACCAGTGGGCATTAGAAATGCTCTGCTTTTTAATATGCTTTGTTAAATGAATTATTTAGACTCTGTAAGGCACCTCTGGACATGTTTTGATATATCTGAAGTTAAAAGCAAAACTGAAAGAAATTATTATTATGTTATATCCAGGGACTGAGATGTATGATTTTAATTTTGAATTAACCTGAAGGTTCCAGCATATGACAGCTGCTGTCCTACACTTAACTATCTTAACTATACCATACTTACCAGATTTTCTCTCATTCTTATATTGCGGCTGTTTTTTATATTCTTATGAATAATTATGTTTCCTTGCTTTTTTTTATTTTAGAGGAAAAATCAGCTCAAAAAAATTAAAAAGAAATAATCTTTAATTCTACTGATCAAATACAGCTGACATATTTTTGTATCAGAAGATACAAAATATAGAGAGCAATTTTAATAAGGTTTATTAATAATTGAATTTGTGCACCATGATTTTGTATATTTTACTTGACACTTTAAAAAAAAACATTTGTTTATTATACCTTTATTATTCTAAAAACATGAATTGAATTTTTTGCAAATTCATGCTTGTTAACTAACCTTCCTAAGCAGTTTTATGTTAATATATGATTTATTTTGTTTTAAAACAGTTAAAAGAAGACCTGAGATTAATAATTTGTGATTGCTAATTATTGCTTTACAAATAGTGAAGTCTTTTGTCTGCTGATGCTCTTCTTCCCTTATATTGTAACTTCAGACCATAATGAAGGACAAGTGGATGAATATAGGTTATGAAGAAGATGAACTTAAACCATTTGTAGAGCCCCCGCCTGACATAAATGAACCAATGAGGATAGGTAATGATGTTGGCAAACCTGCCACCACACAGCCCTTGCGCTCTTGCTTCATCCTTTTGAGCGCTGACTTGTTTTATAAACAATTTTTTGAAAATCTTCTGTTGCATAGTCCGTCTACCACTGGATGTCTCCATGTACCTTAACACCTTTTACTCAATCTTTGTCATGTGTTTGTTATGTAAGGAGGGCCGTTTGCATGGTGCATGCTAGGGTGTGTAAACCTAAGACTGCCACTGTACTGTTAGTTAATACATGGATTTGGCTGGTCTCATTAATTTTTGAAAATCAATAAAGTAAGTTCTTGACCAGACAGGGGCAATCTTTACATGTTTGCTCTTACTCACCCTATTTCCTTCATTTCAGTTGTGCCCACAGGTTAGATGTAGAAGGGCCCTCCTTAATTTTTTTTTTTTCACCTGGAAATGTTACCATGTTTTTCTCAGAATATGTTTATTTTATTGCTCAGACAATAATGAAAGACCGCTGGATCAATATGGGTTATGAAGATAGAGAATTAAAGCCATTCAAAGAGCCGTCGAAAGACGAACTAGACTTGCATCGGATAGGTAATTGTTGTGTGACATTCCTTCGCTTGAGATTTCCTACAATTTCTCCTTGCTCACTTTGGTAATGAAAGAGCATACCAGTGCAGTTATTTATCATCATTATACTTTCGTCATTAGATGATAATGACAGGAACATCTATTAAAATCATACCATGTAGTTGACATAGTGATCAATTGAAAATGTGTGTAAGCAGATCTGCGGTCACTGTAAAGGTTGCACCCTAGTCTTCAACTCATATTTACTTTCTAGATGTAGATGAACACTAAATGCTTGTAAACTTAACACCTGCTTTAAGCATGTACAGAGTTGTCCATACTTTAGTTGTTGTTATTGCTCTTCACTTTAAGTGGTAGTTCAGTTGGTTAAAGTTTTACAGGGTTTTATACTAATTTTTGCTATACACCCTTTTTTTAAAATTTCAATTTTCTGTTATTTTGCAAATATTCCGTGAGTCCACCAAATCAAATAAATTAAGTCTCTTAACATTAAAATCAAAATATAAAAATTAACTTCTACTAAGAGAAATAAGTTGCATGTTAAACAGGCTTCTATAATTCAAATAAATATTTTTTGTGCCCCTGGACATTTTCAGATAATAATTTCCAAAATTTTTAGCATTAAATAGTTTGATTTTTTAAAATTAAAATTATTTAAAATGTGCATGTGGCATGTCTGATATTTCAAGAACGCTAGATGTTTTGTGTGTGTTTGACATTTTAAACAACTCTTTTATGTCAATATGAAGTTTTAACTGCAGTAAAAATAATTTCACTCAATAGATTTTTTAAAGAAAAGAAGCATTTCTCATATAAAAGATTCAAGTATTGCTTAATGCACTTTTTTTTCCACGCTTTAAAAAAATGGGTTTATAGTTACCGGTAACTGCAATTATTTTTTTTTCTGAATCTCTAGTTTTACCTTTCTTTCAACAAATGCTGCTATCACTATTCATATTTTAACACATTTGATTTTCTTAATACATACCCTATCCTGCTGAACTTAATTTGCACCTTTAAGTCAATATTAATTTGTTCAATTGTACAATTAAAGCAATTGATAATCAAGGTTAGTAACTATCTTTCCAAGCACCTAGTGAAATAAAGGGCTGTGTTGGTGAATATTTTTTTTACATTTTCCTTGTAATTTTGTTTTATTTATGTGAATACAATCAACTGAGATAAAATTAAGTTACATAGTGTCAGGAATAATAAATAATCCAGCATTAAAAAAAATAAACTAAAGATTTAAGTAATGTTGGGTAAATTTTAATTCTTCATAGCCAAAATTATGACTGCTTTTTTTTTTCCAGACCTTATGTGCAACATGGGATATGGTCGTAAGGATATTGAGGAATCATTAAAAATGCAAAAGTACGATGATATCCATGCCACTTACCTTTTGTTGGGAAGACGAACAACAGACGTAAGTACTTTAGTAAGTGTCATACTTTTTTGCTTAATGTTTTCATGGTTTAAGTGCCATCTCAAAAGTTATCTTTTTGTCAGATAAAGATAATTTTAAATATCATTTTAAGTTTTAGTGTTATTGATCTTGCGTAAAGTTTTCATCATATTTTTATATATACATTATTTCAGAGAATGATTTTATTGGATTTCCATTTGGATTTTTGAGATGATAAAAATATATCTTAGAAAATCATTCTTCGTAGAATGCTTAATATTGAAAACATCTTAACCCTTGTTTTATAACTCAAAATTGTTTCCAGTGGTAACATGCCTTTGAAGGGGAAGGATAAAACTTTAAATTGCTTCTTAGTGGTTAATAAATAAATTTGATTTTCTAAAATACGAATTGTTTCATATCATCTTTGTTGTCTAAAAATTTCTGATGGTATCCTATTGTTTCAATAGAATCCATAAAAGAAAAATGATTAAAATAGTTGCTAACCTTAACAGATACCTAATCTGCTCAATCTCATACTAACAAAATCACATAATTTTCATCATGGGCTTTAATAACTGCTTTGCTCTCGAATAATAATAAAATTAATAATAAAATGTTAAAACTTTAAAAATTTATTCAATTTTTTAAAATATTTTCATGTATTAAGGCTTTTTAAAATTTGCCAATTATTTAATAATCATGAGCTTCAAATGATTAATTTAAATCAATGTTTTGCTGAAATTTCAACAAAGATCAACTTACTCTGCTTTTCCCAGTCCCTAACTTTCAATAATTTGCTAACGATTGCTAAACCAACATATCATATCTGAGCTTTTAAAGATAAGGAAAAAGTAAGTATTTTATGGCAAAGACGATAGCTTATTCCACCTAAATCAATTCAGTAATCGCCCAGTAAAAAAATGGCTATCTACTGATTAGTGTAATCATAAGTTATTATTTTTTTTTTAAAATCCTTTATATTAACTGCGCTTTTGTTTCATGTGTGTTTCTTTCTGGGTGTGTGGCAAACTCTTCAGACAGCTAATTGACTCATTTCCCGTTATCCTATCTAGCTGAAACTTGGCACATAGAGACTCACATCCTGTCAAGTTTCAGCCCAACCACCAAAAATAAGTTTTTCCCATTTTTCATGGGGGAGATGAAATAAATTGATTTCATGCAATAAAATTCCAAATGAGATTATTAAAAATATTGCAAGTGCGTTTGGGGCAATAGTCTGTGTAATAAATCTGCCGTGTAAAAGAGGGTGGGACATAGTTATTTGTAGCTCAGCCGGTGTGAAATATGGGGGGGGGGGGGGGGGGGGGTGGACTTATTGCGATTCTTAAAAAATGCGTTATTTGAATGCATGTTTTGTCAAATTTTCAGCCCCAACTCCCAAATAATTATATTTACCTTGCCCTTGTTCGAATAAAAAATGCATCTAAAGGATTTATACGGAAAACTTTGTTTTTTTAAGGGTTGTAAAATTAAACTCCACATTATAATTTTAAAGGATTAAAGTAAAGAAGTTTTTTTACACCAACATTTTATTAAATAACTTTAACAAAAGTTTTATGGTAAGAGATTATTAATTTGGTAGATAAGCAATTAAGTCTCAGATTAAATTTTTATTTCATTCTTGGCTTGTGCATAGTAATTGAAACTTCGGAAGTGCCCTCACCAAACTTCCAAACAATTTATTTTGTTTTTCAAAAGAATAACTTTATTTAAACACACTATTTTACCTAAATTTCATTTCTGAAATTAAATCATCAAAATTATACTTTTTAAACTGTGTGTTATAAAATTTAACTGTGGTTGCATTCTAGTACATGTAGACTGCAAGTGAACAAAGTTAAGGAAATGCTTAAATAAATACTAACATTAATAAATTAGTAATCTATTGCACACTGTTCAATTAACACACAAGCATGTTTTTTTACTGTTTTCTTTTACAATCTCTTCTGCATCTATGTGTCTATAAGCATCATAACAGCATGTGATGTATTGTCTCCCTTTCAGTTGGAAGGCAGTGACCGATCAGGTAGCAACTTGTCTCTCCAGCAGATTCGAGCTCCTTCATCGCGGCCCCATGACAACAACAGCTCAGGTCAATCTCCCAACAAGGTGCCTCGCAGCCAGTCAGCCACCAGCAGCTCAAATAATCAGAAGCCAAGGAGATACAGCCAGGGTGGTGAAAATAATGGCAATGGTAGTAATAAACGTTGGTGTTTTGTGACTGGACATCACATATTTCATTTATTTCTTTTCATATGTATAGTGTAACCAGCCATGGTGCTAGTCTGTTACCTCTTTATTTCATGTCGTTATTATCACTTTCTCATATTTACGTGGTCACTTAACCAAAATGAAGCAGAAACATTGTTCCTGTAACCCAATTAAGGGGCAACTTTATCAAAAACACTTTGTACACTTAAAGTTTGCTTTTTAAAATACTGCTTAAGCTTCTGTTCTTTATTCCCATTGACCAACAAAAATCATTGTTTTTTGCATTTTATCATGTTCATTACTGCAAACTTTACATATTTCTTGGGTTAAGTTGAAACTTATTTTGTAACTTTTGGAAAACAATTCCTTTATCCTACAATTAGGGATGTTATTTTCATTTTTCTTTTAGTCTTCTTTTTAAATTTTTAAATCAGATTTTTTTTTAAAGTAATCAATTTTTTGGGCCTTTATTGTGGGCACTCCTTTACTGTTTTAGTGGCAAATCTGCAATATCTGCTCAATTCTGGTTTGTGTCGCAATCTTCAATGGATGCTGATTATGTGAATTTTAGAAATGCACTTGGTACTTGTAAATGGTTGCAATCCAATTATTGTTCCAGATCCTTATGTTGGATTGATTGAAACTCATTCAATTGAAACTATAAACTTGGCTGCAATGACTTTTTTCCTGTGTCTGATTTCTTTCTTTATGATGTTTTAGACTTATGTCATGTATGATTCTAATTTTTCATATGTATTGTTCTTCATTCGTTTATAAATAATTTGGGTGGGTTTTTTTTTTCATTGTTGGGGCGTGGGGGTGTGTTTCTGCTAAATTGTCGTCGGCTTTTAATTGACTCTTAGTGAGAGTATTATAAAACTAAGTTCTTTTGATGTTTCAGGGTTTTATTTCTGACAGACATTAAAAAAGAGAATGTTAATTTTCTAGGTTCAGGTAGTGTGAATGCATCTCAAACACAATCAAATTCATCAAGAAGGCCAAACATAGAACCTCCTGCCACAAAACAAAGTACTTTAGAAGAGAGAATGGGAAAAGTTTCTGTAGGAAGTAGCAACAGTGGCACTCCTGTAGTGACTTCAGACTCTCCCAAGGTAATGATTTTATTGATTTTTGCTATTATTTTGATTTTAGCATTTTTATTTTTTTTGCTGACATACATTTTAATTTGTGTAGTGGTTTCAATAATCTCACGGGAGCTTACTGTTCATTTGAAATTAGGAATTCTTGTTTTAAGTTGTTTCCTTAGTTGCCAACCCTTTTCCTTTTTTTTAAAAAGAATTATTAGAAATCATTTTGCTGATTGTACGCCTTAAAAACACCTGCAGAAGAAAATTGCTTATGTTTAATTTAACACCTTGGAACAGAAATACATTTGAAAAATTTAAAAACAGAATAATTTGCTTGTGGCTTTCATTTTCAAGACTAATTAGATCTCTAGAGAACAAAAAAGGGCAGTTCTGTGTCAGAAAAAAATATTATTGAACTGAAAGGAAATTGTTGGTGAAGAAATCAGAGTGCTTTTTAGTGTGTTCATTTCTGGAAAAACTGTGTTGTTTCCTAATATCTTTTTTGTATGTTGCATGTTTCTGTTAAAAAATTCACCTATAAAATCACTAAATAATTCTTTCCTGAATTGTTGAGGCACACCATCTAACACAAATTTTTTAGTATGCAAAGTTCTGCATTGTTTGTTTTTAAAATCCATAGTAGTTAGTTCAGTGGCATGGATATTGACACATAAACCGATCTTTTCTTCTTGGTCTTGTTATGGATTTTTCAACATTGTAGCTTAAAACAACACATTCCAAATTTGCTTTAAATTTCGGCGCTTCCAAAATTTGAAACAAATACATGTGTGAAATGAAGCCTGCTTGTATACTAAGAGTTGATCAGTATCCAATGGTATATTATATGTCCTTCAAATATCAGGGAAAACAAATACATCATAAATAACACTGCAAAACATTACACAATACATCCCAGCATTAAAATTTCATGTCCACTTTTAGGAAACTTAAGTGTTACTTTATCCTTGTATCCCTTTACATGGCCTGTCCGTTTCTCAGATTGAAACTGGCAAGAGTACAGTCAACCATTCTGACAGTACAGAAGCAGTTAGTTTGCTCAGCAATAAACCCAAGAGCCCTTCCAAAAGCTCCATAGATTCTCCTAAGGTATGGGGAAAACTCATTTGGGATGAGCGTGGAGCTCTGCTTTTGTTTCACTATAATTGGGCTTCAAGGTTTTGGCCACTTTTAATGTAACAAGCAGAATTCATACTGTAAATTGATAACCATATATAATTTGTTTATAATCATTCATAGACAATATCTTAGATAGCCTTTAGTATTTTTTATGTCGTTAAGATGTTCATCAACTTATTGCTTAAAAATTTTACGATGCAGTTTTACTGAAAATTTGTGATATTTTCAAATCAGAAAACTTCACACACTTTAAAAAGGCACTAAATTTGAATGTAGTGTTCTTCAACTCTTATGTCATTACAAACTAAATACTTCCATTGAACATTGAAAAGCAATAAGTCTTAAAACTTCAATACATAAACAGCTAACAAACCTATTCTAAAATTTCAACAAATGTTAAACCTTATTATTAATAAAGCTTAGATTGTTTGAAAAAAAAGTTCTTTTTAAAGTATATTTTAAAAGTTTTAAATTGTGTGGCAGCTCTAATATATGCAGGTGGTTGTGACCAAACATAATTTTGAATAAATACAAGGATGTTGGGGAAAAACATCATATACTTAATGGAAATATGTCCAAATATCTAGAATGCTTAATCATATTCAATGTAATCCACAATTTAAACTATTATTTGTTCACTAACTTCATTTTAATTGTTATTTTAACAACTAAGCTAGAATATTTTTATTACGTTCTATCAAATAAATAATATATGCTTAAAAAATGCCTACAGCTTTATGAAAGGTGTTAACATATTCCCAAATCCCTTTCAGGGAGTGTATGTGTGTATATAAATATATATTGAAGTGTTAAAATGTCTTAGTCAATGCTCTTGACAGAGAGACAACAGCTTTTTAAAAAAAAGTTTTGTGTATTGATCTAATTAAATTATCAATATGTTACAACAGTGTTACAGCATGATATTGGGTGCACATTTTTAATGTAAGAAATGACAATAATATAAAGTCTGCTTTGTGTTTTTTTATTTAAATTTAATCATAATCATGTGGACTCAAACTAAATTTTCAGTGGCTTGGATTTAATTCAACCTCCTGATTTTATAACTTAAATTAGCTCAAATGACACAATATAAAAAATTAGTCTCATTTTATATGTTATCCTTTATAATGAATTTGCCCACGAGATGATTCATTCCAAACTATCAAAATATTGTACTATCAAGTAATAGAAACACTTAAATCTTGGCGACAGGTATTTCAAACATTAATAACTCAATAAATAGCAGGTTCAACTGTGTATATTTTCTTATTAGATGCATGCCAGAAAAGGTTCAAATCATACCACCTCATCATCAAAAGAGAATGCTGCCCCTTCCTCACGCTCAAAGACACCTCGGGGCTCAACAGAGGGCATGAAGGTATGGGGATAAAAAAAAAAAAAGAACCTTCTCATCCATACGCCAACCTTACAGGAATCCCTTGTAAAATTGGATATCTGGGTCCCAGCCAAGTTACAGCACTTAACAAGCATTCTCTTTTCTTATCAAGCTGATAGTCCAAATACTGTGACAAAATGGAGTCACAAATTTGAATGCTGCTACTAATGAATTACTTGTATACTTAACTATACTTATAATTAAAAAGTAGTTGACATAACCTCAACTAAATTACTTACATATCACTAAATTTTAAACGAGTCCATACTTTTTAATTAATAGCTCATTCGCCTATTTTATAAACAAGTGGAAGCCTATCAACTATCATTAAGGTTATTTGTCTGTGAAAAGGTCCTCGCTACACAGAGGGATTCCTGTAACAGAATTTAACAGATTTTAAACCTACTTTTATTTTTTTTAAACTTACTCATACACTTCCCATTTAATGAACATCAAATGCCCATTAATGAATATGGTCACACTTTTTTATGGATTTATAAATATTATTTAATTTGAATAAAATGTCAACTTACAATGTCCCTTTATAAAACATGATAATACATGTATTTTTGCTAAGATTTATACCATCTCTAGGGGTTGGAATAACACCATGAACCCTGTTAATGCATTCACTACCTTAACAATTACTGTGCTTGCCAAGATCTTTTTTAACACTGCATGTTATTCAACAGTGGTTATGGGTTACTAATTTGTTGTTTTTTTTGCTTGCATGTCATTAAGCCGCACATTTTTTCCGTTACGCTTATGAGAGACCAAATGAAATATTCTAAGACAAGACCATTTTATATCCTCATTTAATTTTTGCACATAATAATTTGAAAAGAGTTTTTAAAATTATAAAAATAATACAAAATAATTTTAAAGCAATAATAAAATATTAGACATTTTGTTTATCAAATATTTAATTTTATATTTATTTCTGCGATAAAGTTTGGTAAGTTGAAATAGATTTTAGTAATGCAAAGAGACCATTTAATTGATCTTTTCATGAAATAACTTCAAAAAATATTTTGCTTCGATATAAGTAAAATCATTTTTACTCTTTTAAGGTGGATATTGTGTAACATAAATATTTTATGAATGACTTACCTTATGTGTTGAAAAATATTGGCTATGTAAACTCTTATCTTTTATTACCTAGATCACTGGACAGACTGCAATAAGGGCAACAATGCCCACCAGAAAGAGTAATCACTCAGGCTCTGCATCATCGTCCTCAGCAACTCCTAAAACTATCATGAGTCATAGTCATAGTACAGGCATTCCTCGTCGGAGTACATTCAGTCCTGGAGACAACAGGGCCCAGACACCATCAGACAAGCCAAGACCAACAAATGGTCAGGACACCCGCAGGTTAGACAAGTTAAAAGTTAATACAAATGAGATATAATACTATTTTATTTTGCATTTTAAAAAAAGATAGTTCACAGAGTAATTTGTTTAAATTGAGAAGATGTCTTTTCATTCTTAAATAATCTTGGTCGGAAATAATTTTTTTATATTAAGTTATGTGCAATCATACAATTAAAAATAGAAAAATAAATAAAAGTTTTAATAATTTTTGTCTGTGAAAACCAGCAATTCAAGCTCTACACCTACTGAAGTTCCAACCAGCACAAGTTCAACTCCCAACCCATCAATTACTCGACCCAAGGGGCACTCAAAGTCTAACAGCATGTCTCAGTCAGCACGAGCTAATGAGTTGCCTGTTAGTATAACAGATGGGGACCAGAGACCTACGTATGTTATGTGTTGTCTCCTACATTATTAAGGCTTCATTGGTTATATTTTTAATAGCTAGTGGTATACTGACAAAATGTAATTTCTTGTAATGTTACTATTTGTACTTTTTAAGACATTAATTTATTTCTATAACATAACTTTTAAATCATATTCAGTTGGACTAAGGATCATCCAGTAAAATAATAAAACTACTAAGAAGAAGAGCTCACATAAAATCAAAAGTAAAAGTGATACTTACATTATTTAAGACAGAGATGTTTTCATAATGAAATATTACAAATAAATTGTATATTTAATAATAGGACTGCCCCAGGAAAGACTCCAGCCATCTCTCCCGGAGTTAAACAGAATTTAACTCGTGGTACACAGGCAAGAAACACATTCCATGGTCGTGATGCAAGGAAACAAGTGGTAAATCCTTACAATGGGCCTGGCGGTATGTCCCAACATCCTACAGACTCCACCAACATACCTGGGCAGCGCCCATCATTTTTCAACAGAATCACATCTAAGTTCAGTCGAAGGTGAGTACTTCTTACAAAAATGATTTTTTTTTTTACTTTATTTATAATTTTAATAATAGGCTTTAATATTCTATGAGAAATTCAATGTTTGAGGAGTCCTCACTTTTATAATTTCTTCATTACACTTTTCTTCATAACAGTATAGACTGATTACTTTTAATTTTAAAACCCATAAACTGAAGGGTGATTAGTTGTTTTTTTTTTTGGCAAACTGATTATGGGTTTAAAAAATTTAAATATGAAATGAAAATAAATTAATTTAAAAAAATAATAAAATTTAGGGGTTGGTATTTCCATTGGTTGTGACTTTGCATTCATCTCTGAGATTTCAAAATCCGCTGTAAGTATTTGTCACATTTGCAGAGATTTCCTTGATTTACTGCCAGCTTGACTTTAAAAGATAATGTGAAATAGTGCTCCATTTTGTTTATGTATATGTATCGTGGACCTCACAGGAAAATTTTATATATGAATATAGCAACTTGCACACAAAATCTTAATTTTGCTAAGGTGAACCTGTTAAAAAATTTGAGTTTTTTAAAAATTCCTTTTAAAATACTTCAAAATATAAAAAAAATGATTTTGTTTATTTATGATTTTTAAAAACCTGTATCAGGAAACTCCTGGATTATCCTTGGAATCAATGCAATATCTTCAAAAGCTGGGGAAAAACATTGTTTTGCAGTGAATGTCTTAAATTAAAGAAAATTATGACCCGGACCAGCAATTCTCATTTAACTTCTTTCAAAATATTAAATAAAAGCTGAAGTATCTAGTATCAGATGAATTCCAACTCCACCTCTGACAAACTGTGACATTTATTTAAGCAGATTAAAACTCTCCAAACTTAAATATTTTTTTGTCATGTCCTCGTAAAAGTTAATAAAGAGTAAGATAAAGATTCAGTTAATGTGAAAATATTCCCATTTAGTAATTAGAAGAATTAGAAGTTAACTGCTCAGAAACTCTTGGGCATGATTAAATGTAAATGTTTTCAGGATTTTTCTGTTACACAAGAAAATATGAAAATTAAACATATTTGCACAACAAAATTTCAATTAATCAATAAGAAATAGGCAACATTTTCGGACATGACAGAGTAAATAAATTTTAATCCCATTTAAAAAAAATTTTAAAATTCAAATAACATGTTATGAGTTGATTTTGTTTTTGTGATGTTTAAATTAATTGCATAACATATGTATTTTGTTCTTAATGAATTACTGCATGAATATAATTTGCACAATTCCTATAATTAATGAAAATTAATTCTAAATATTAAAGTTTGTGCTTTAAAATAGTTTCCCAAATGTTAATTATCATATGTTAGTTTGACGATGAATGCCGTAGTTGTAGTATATCTTTTCAGGATAAAATATTGTCTTTATTGAGAGTTTTTTCCCCTTAAGAACTCAAGTTAGAATTGAAATTTATCTCCAGGAATATGTTGATAATTTTCTGTTAAGTGATATTTTCTTTGCTCCTCATCTATCTTACTCAGTCCTGGAATGAGGTATTTATTGCTGTTGTTATCCCGCTTTAAATATCTGTGTAATTTTATTCTTATTGAGGCTTTTAGAGGTCTCTTACATTAAGTGTTATTATCTTCAGCAAAGTGAAGATTACTTGTAATTGTTCATCATCTAAGATTTCAATATTTGTAGCATTTAGTCACCTTTCCATTTCCCTTTTATGTTGGTTATTTGTACTCAACTTCCTAGTCATTGGCTTGGTTATTTTAATGTCTACAGTTTTTTCTATTTGTTTATATTTTTCCAATTCGATGTTGGAAAACAAAAAATCTAGGGAGCTTTTATGAAAGCTTTTAGCCTTTCAAGGAATCTTTTTCAGAGTTGGACATTATTATTACCTTATTACATTGAAACTATTAATATATTAGTAAGCAGCAACAAAAATATTGGTCATCTTATGACAGGATTACCATTCACGTTTCCTTTTAAAAAATGTATTCATTAAATTTTTTTACACATAACCCTTACCCCAAGCTGTGAGAGTTACTTAGATTTTATTAAGAATACAGTCGAACCCTGATATGTCGATGTTTGTGAAGTGGAACTGTCAAATTCTCTCTTGGTATTAGCATTTTCTCCTCGTTTATGTTGATTCTTTTATGTCGCCGAACCCTGATATCTCGAGCACAAAAGGCGGCCATATTTGCCACTTAACATCGGTTATCTCGATTCCCATGACCAGGCCTGCAAAACTCAAAATCTAAGGCGGGGCATAATAATTCATGAAAAATTTGTGCGGGCCAAAAGAAAATAGGACAGTACTTGTCCTAGCCAAAAGAAAATAGGAAAGGGGGGAGGGTGGGGGGAATCCATTAAGAAAATAATAAGAATAAAGAATATTTTGTTACTTCGCGGGCCGCAAAGTGGGTGTTGGCGGGCCACTAAGTGGGTGTTGGTGGGCCGCGCCGTATGTTGTTCAGGCCTGCCCATAACTAATCGCTGGCTTTTGAACTCCGCAAGGAGAAATAGCAAACAAATTAACAAGTTTTTCATAATTAAAAATAATTTATTTCTCAAAATACAGGACTTGTGTGTTTTAGAATGAATATAGAATTAATTTAAATAAATCTATTTTAATTCGAGGTTGAAAAACACGGTTGAGTCCATATTATAAATGATCATGGGCAGCCATTCACGGTCACTTGCATTACGGCTATGCCGTGTTATGCCGTGTTACTATGTTAGAGTTTCATTCACAAGAGTTTGCCATGTGCAAAAGCTATTAAACCATTGGTCAGGGAAAGCTTTAATTAAATAGTCATGTGCCAAAATTGAAAGTTCAAAATAAGTAGTCCCTAGTGTTTTAGTAATAAGGGGATGCGTTGCCTTATATAAACTATATAGTTATTGCGCAAGACACGATCAGCAATGTCGAAGCTTCGTCCATAGTAGAAATAACAACAAACTCATACTTCAAAATTCTTAGCTCAAAAAGTAGTAAAGTTAAAAAGTAGGTTCTGTTTGGTTTTTTTAATTTGAAATTTGCTCTAAATAACTAATTTTATTGATGCACATCATGTACTTAAAGAAATTTCAAGCACATGTTAATATTTTGTCCCCATATTGGTTTTCGATTATCTCGATCATCGGTTATCTCGATGCTTTTCGGCAAACCCCGAGGCCGTCTACCAAATGAGAAGCAAACAAAAACTCAACAAATTAACATATTTCACTTGATAGCTAAAGGAAAGGGCCAAGTTAACAAACATGCATATCTTAAAACATTTCAAAGAGATAATTTTGCACTTTCAAATTTTTTATTTAATTTATTATTTTATTACATTATATTTTTTTGGTTGCCCTTTTTATTCCTATTCAAACCTAACCAAAACACAGTACATTATTCTCATACTTCATCTACAATCCTCTGGTAACAAAACTGTGTCATAACTCATTAAATTGGTCCGTCATGTATTATATTGACTTTAAAAAAATTAAGAATCTTATTTACCCCATTTATACATTTAGTATATTATAAAATTATATTTATTGATAGTAACTAACTCTTCACTGCTGAAATATTCTTAACTAGGGCTTTACTGGGTGCATTTTTTTAAACCGGGTCCGGGTTTTTTGAGAAATAGGCCTACAGTCTACCTATCTACCAGCCTTTAAAACAATAGTCATACAGACAGTCCTACACCATACCCTCCTACCCTCGGCCTTTTATTGATTAATATAATAGTGGTATCCCACTAAAGAAGTTCTTTTTAACCTGAGTTCACAAGTCATGCATGAGAGCCTTTTTTCCATCTACCCCCCCCCCCCTTTCTTTTTTTTCTCCATCCCTTTTGCCTGTTAGGTTTGGAAATAGGCAAATATTTCACTTGAATAGAGTTGTGGCCTTTTATTGATTAATATAATAGGGGTATCCCACTAAAGAAGTTCTTTTTAACCTGAGTTCACAAGTCATGCATGAGAGCCTTTTTTCCATCTACCCCCCCCCCCTTTCTTTTTTTTCTCCATCCCTTTTGCCTGTTAGGTTTGGAAATAGGCAAATATTTCACTTGAATAGAGTTGCTTTTGCTCCATATGAATTTACTACTTCTGATTTAATAAGCTGATGTTTTTGAGTTCAGCAATTAGAAAAATATTGGTTGCCTTTGAAAAATTCAAATAGTTTCTCAAAGCCCTTCAGACAATTGCCTTGCCTTTTGATAGCCAACAAAGTTATGAAGTAGCAAACATTCTAAAATGGTCCACCATGGAGACTGCATACTTTTATTGTATTTACTTTAATTATGCCAGTGATAAATGGCTCATGCATGACATCACCATCACAACAACCAGATGTCAATAATGCATAATGCAATGAATTGCACAGTTTTTTTTAACAAACAAGATATGGTAACATCCAGTAGTTATTAAAATTCAAACGTAGCACCATCGGCGTACATATATAATTTATATTTGAAAAATCAAATGACTGTGTTGTCTGAATTTTTTTTTTACATTAATTTGGTCTATTTTTCAATAAAGATGATCAAAATAGTCATCTTTATATATCAATTTGAATTTCAAAAATTGTTTCATATTTAATTCACCACCCACCCCACTCCCAAACTTACATCCACAGCCTTCTAGTACTGTCCACTTCGATAACCACTATTCTAAATTATTATAGACAAATAGTTTTATTCAACCATTACATTCAATCAAAAGTACTTTTTAAAAAATTTAATTCATTTTTAACCTTTCTAGTATAATTTTGTTTACATTTTTTTCATTATTTTTTTATGTAATTAAGTTTTCAGGTACAAAATAAAGACAAAAATGACGAAATTAAATATTGAATTTTAAAAATATGTCAAGGCAATGCTCAAATAAATTGTTCAGAAAATTTAAATATTTAACTCTTTCCTTCCGGAATGATTTTCCAAATTCTGACGGAATTATCTATTTTGCGTTTTTGTTGCGCACTACTATGTTGTCTCTAAACCTTCATAACTTTTTTGTTTTTCATCAGAAAGTGCTAAGTTTGGTATGGAATTAAAGGGGAATGCATGTTTTTTACAGACAATACAGACTTAGTTTTAAATTGTAATAAATATATGTGGTTTTGATTTATGGAAAATAAAAATTGTTTAAACTTGGCGAATTTTCGCTAAGCGCTCATTCCAAGTCACACAAAGAGAAATATGTAATCCAAAGTTTAACAAAAATTTAATTTTTTTCTGAACTATATCCATATGTGCATCAAAAATAATAAAGATCAACTTTAAAAAAAATAACACCAGAGCACATCCATTGTCACCATCACACACAATTTTGCGAGAAAAAAAATGTAACTATTTCCACTGGAAACAATTTGTTGCTATTATAAAATATTTGCACTGTATTCTTGTATGTACTAACATTTATTATGGTAAATGGAACATTTGCCATACATTTATCATATCTTTTCATCTGGGTTTAGCTATGGTAATTATAAAAAAACAATGCATATTGATGTGCACTTTAGCTGGGGGCGGGGCTGGTTGTTCATCAGCTGATGAATTACCAATTTCATTATTTTGTCACTAGTACTACTAATACTAGTACTAGGATTATAATCATACTATTCAACAGAATCAGCTTCTATATTTGAAATCATAAAATCACTGTCTGAATCATCATCGGATTAATATTTTCAACCTTTATTAGATCGATCACAAGATGGGTCAAGTCAAGATTTCATGTTTGTCAACAAATATAAAATGGACAATGTAAACAACCACTTCAAACACTTCGATCTTTGCAAAACCTCTTTCAAACACTGAAAAACCAGACGTTTATACAAAGGGAAATCATTCTAGAATTTATTTAAAATAACTAAAAACCAATAGCTAAGAAAAGAACCGAAATAAACAGGTTTTTATACATCGACTATGGGAGCGTTGACCCGGAGGGAAAGAGTTAAGTGTAAAAAAAATGTGTGCAATTATTGATTTTCATCATCCCCCAACTCTTCTGCATTTTATTTTGTTGGATTTCACTTCGTTTCCCAAAGCAAGACAAGCAAAATTAATAAATTATATTATTGTTTTCATATCTAAATTAAGCTGGTTACCTTTTATTCTTGATTGTGTTATAAATGAATCAATATTTTAACCTCTCTATGTCAATAAATTATGACTTTTATATACAGTCTCACTTTAATGTTACCTTAAAAACATACATTTTATACCATTTATATATTTTTGGGCGTTATTCCAGCAAAAAGTTGCCAAATTTTTGTTTCTATATAGGGCCAAAGGCAAAAAGAAAAGTAAATTTGTTTGATTCCAATAATTAATTATTTGTAATGTTGTATTACAATAGTAAAGTAACAAGTTCTACCATTTCAGAAAGCAGCAAATATTGTATGCTTGCATGATATGCTATTTCCACTTTACTATACATGTAAAAGGAACATTTATTCAATCAGCATCAGAGTAACAGCTTATCCTCTCTCAAAATTCTTAATTTGAAGGGGGAACAATTTTCTGAAAATACATTTTACAAAGTTTATTATCCAACAGGGCTGTGTCTCTACATTATAAACTTTTTTTTTTACCCATGATAGTTTAAATATTGTAATTTTTTACCATTTACTGATACCTTGAAGTGCACCTCAGGCCCCTGGTTGAGAACCTCTGCTTTACTCTCATTTAGTCTTATCATTTTTTTTTAAATCTTTAAAACTGCATTTTATTTGCTCCTTTTGTGTGTTTTAGAGATATTAAAATTATTGTACACACGCATGATAAAAGTTACACATTACAAATTAGGGCTGTGTTAATCTATATATTTTCTGTCCCTCCATGCCCCCTCTTAGTGGTGATATCCATAGCCATTTTTTTTACTAGCATGGTTTTGTTCTTAAAATTCTGTTAAATAACAAATAACATAGAAATTGTCAAATGTTGCTTCTCTACCTCCACTCACTTGATGTCTTTCTCTTTCCCCCAATGCCAACTATTAAATTTCAGACCTGATGGTGGATTGCAGAGCTCCTCTCCCCATGCATATGCCAGCGGGAGGGCCTCGGCCCTGTCACCGTGAGTACTTGAGCAAATTAAAATCTTTCCCAAGAACTGATCAGCTGATCCCATTCAGAAGCTGGCATTTATGAAGCTGTCAACCTGCCTTCAATCTATTTTTCTGAATCTCATACACTTTTGCACCCTGCATTTTGCAAAGATCTGAAAAGGATAATGTCACTTTAAGTTTTAAAAAGAACTTTTATTGTCCCATTGTAATTATTTTAAAATCTTATTAAAGTTTTTATGTTTTAAGTTTGCTCAAATTAAAAGTAAGTTGACATTTATAAGTTGATGTGTTTCAGCATGTTTAATACTAGATCTCATTTGGTTAACTGCATTTGTATTCAGCACAGTTAATAAATTATGAAGTTTTTAAACACTATAAGTAATATATTATTATAGTATGTATACACATAATTAAACAGTAATATTGTTTTACTTTTTATTTGAATAAATATGCAGTGACACTCTTTTTTTTTATTTGTTGCTTTTGGCTGCCTTACTAATTGTATGCTTGCTTTTACATACACCCAACCCCCTTTTAAACTATTAGGCACTGTGTTAATCATTAGAAAGTTCTGTTAACATGCTCTTGCTTATACAATTGTAGTCGACTTTCAGGTGTCCATATGTTTGTTTTACATGAGAGGCTCAATCATTGGTTTTGCAGTGAGCTTCAAAAGTTATATCATTGAGCTTTTTTCCTTTATTTTGAGGGATGGATAATGCTAATGACTTTGCCTTTTTCAGCTTTCTCGTTTCTGTTCAGAGATTATCGGTACTGCAATTCGAACTTGTCCTTTATTATATATTTACACATAGACTTATGCACTGTCATATTACTTAAGCATTTGATTTTGATTTATCATTCCCATTCTTGTATTAGGAACTTAAGGAAAACAAAGATATTTTATTAGATCTGCCTTTAGTTCATGTTCAGATCTACCAACTATTCACAAACTCATATTCATCTAGTCAACATTCTCAAGCATAGAGTAGGCTTAAGTTTTGCCACAAATGCATCAGATTTATTTTTTCTTAAATGGCCATTATTATTTTTGTGTGTTATATTTATCAAAGAATAGTGTTGAAGACCATGAGTCCCTTTAAAAAATGAATATGCTTTTTAGAAAGACTTGATATCCTGCTTTGTAAACATAGATCTAGAAAGATTGTCTTGTTTTTCATCACTACCCATGTCCTCTACCATGTCTTTCATATTGTTTATAGATCCTTGAAAAGTCCTAAACATATCTTTTTTTTTTTTCCATAGCTTTTGTTCCCATTATTATTAGATTGATTTCTTTTACTGGTCCACTGCTTCAGCTTCACGCTTGGTTCGGGTGTCACTGCCAATAGCTGTTTTTGTTTCTAATTTGCAGCCACGTTTTTCGCAGGTCAATGTCGGGGGAAACTCGGGACCCCGAAGGGGTTAAACCCAGATCACTTCGTTTCACTTGGAGCATGAAAACCACTAGTGCTATGGACCCTAATGATATGATGAAAGAGATCAGGAAGGTATAATTTTATCCTCTGCTTTTACTTTTTCATTTTTGAATAAAGGCAAGATAGATTTATTATATGCTTTATTACATGAATAGACAAATTTTATAAAAAAAAACAAATTTGAATCTTGGTAGTTTTTGAAGAATTGCAAAGTTTCTGAAGAATTGCAACAAAATGAAATATATAGATCTCTTGATGCCTCTGTAACTTAAATTATACAGGGGTCGTTTGCAAATTATGTCACGCACCCTGTCACAAACCCCCCTCTCCCCTAGTGTCATGTCACACCTAAAAAAATTCAAAACATACATACCATTTTCATCATTGAACTATGTATTTATTTTATTCTTTAACATTTTCCCATAATGTTGTATTTAGAAAACTATGGCGTAAAACGCAAAACAACGAAATCATTCCTAAGCCGAATGTAAAATAGACACAACAGTTTTTGCTTCAGTTTTCGTTATGTGCAGAAGTTGTGGCGACCGAGTTTCATGGTACCTCATATACCTGAGTTAATTTCAACCTCAAAATAATGCTTTTAAAATTAATTGAATAAAGATTTTTCAAAATTAGACAATTTTAGATTAAATTTTTTTGTGACGTCACAAATTTTGTACCTCCCGTCACAAAGTGTCACAAATTCCCAACACCTCTTCCACCCCTGAGCGTGACGTAATTTGGGAACGATCCCATAAGAAGGGGTTGAAAGAATCGTGACAAGAAGAAACTACCTAAGATAACTGGCAACATTGTAATAATTTGATGGTTTGCCTTCTTGTGGAAATGACTTTTTCAACAACCCGCCTTCATAACTATTTTTTATGGGATATATTTAGATTTAAAACATTTTCAATATATGGGAAAACATTGTATCGGGAACTTACCGTACGGCTTTATTTTTAGGTCATAGCTTGGACAGTTATATTTGAATGTGTATCTGACAGTGGTCTTTCTTCTTCTTCTCAGGTTCTAGATGTCAATAATTGTGACTATGAACAAAGGGAACGCTTCCTTTTGTTATGTGTACATGGTGATCCCAACACCGACAGTCTTGTTCAATGGGAGATGGAAGTTTGCAAACTGCCTCGTTTGTCGCTCAATGGAGTCCGTTTCAAGCGCATATCAGGAACTTCAATAGGATTCAAGAACATTGCATCCAAAATAGCAAACGAGTTAAAACTTTAACAATTTTTAGCTTCTTAATTCCTCTTATTTATGACTGTGGCAAATAGATTTATAAAATTTTCTTTTATTGAATAGTAGGGAAGAAGAGGGCTGTATCATAGAACTTTTTAGTTAACCTTAGATATGACTACTCAGGTTTAATTCATCATTTCTTAAATTTTTGTTGTTGTTTATTTAAATCAGGAGTTGCTTTAACCCTCTTGAGGCGTCTGGGCCGATCTATCAACCCAAAGTCAAATGGTCGATCTATCCCCCATAATAAGAGCTTCGAGATTGCTTGGTTGGTCTTTGCACCAACTAATCAGATTCCTTCTCACATTTCTTGCTCAGCTTGCCATTTTATTGTCGGTTTCCATTGACATTATGGTGTTATATTTATTTTACCTAGTGACCCCTATAAATGCTTTAAAAATATGTGACCTTGAAATATGCCAAAAGGCATAAGCAGGCCCAGGGGAATAATTTATGCAGTTTTTCCCATTAAATCTCATTAAAATTTTTGTTAAGTCTCATGTAGTCTTCAACAATCATAACATTTTTTTAAATTCTCGAATTAAGACATGTTCATTCTAAGTGTAAAATAAAAAATTGCATTTATAAATCATGCAAATCAGGATATCTCATTTCTATAAATGTAGAGATTTCAGTTTGATTCATAAAGATCGAATTTGTTCATTCAATCCTTACGACAGGCCTGCACAACATATGGCCAGCAAAGTAACGAAATATTCTTTATTCTTCTTATTTTTTTTAATAGCTTTCCCCTCCTGTCCTATTTTCTTTTGGCCCGCACAAGTCCTGTCCTATTATTTTTTTTTGCCCGCATGCGATTTTCATAAGAATTACGGCCCGCCTTACATTTTGAGTTGTGCAGGCCTGCCCTACAAGAATATAGTTTTATATTTGTAATTAGTTTATTTTTATACATTTTTTTGCAAAGTGCAGGGTTTGTGAAAAGGCTGCATCTGCTTGGCACTGTCTAAAAATGATTTCCCTCAAGAGGATTAAAGCAATATAATTACTTCTGCTTTCCTAACTTCTAATTTTTGAGAACCAATTTGAAGAATTAAATTTGTACCTTCTTTATTTGGGCCACTACGTGCAAGTAGATTGTTCTAAGAGAAAATGTACATGAAATATAGACTTTCAAGTACACTACAGATAAATATTAATTAGCTTTTTAAATGGACTGACGAGGTATTCATTCATAATAGAACAGCAGTTGTTTCCTTCTTGCTGTTAACATGACTATTGTGGGATTACAATCTCACAATACCAATATATAAATTAGATAAAGAAGAGATCTTTGATACAGTTTTAATGTCCATGACTGTCCACTAAAATAAAAAAAAAAAAAGCTAATATTATCAGTAGTTTTTCTAATGAATAAAACACTTTCTATCCATGGCATGGTTTTCCTTCTTGCTGTTAAAATGACTATTGTGGGATTACAATCTCACAATACCAATATATAAATTAAATAAAGAAGAGATCTTTGATACAGTTTTAATGTCCATGACTGTCCACTAAAATAAAAAAAAAAAAAAGCTAATATTATCAGTAGTTTTTCTAATGAATAAAACACTTTCTATCCATGGCATGGTTTCATATTTAAACAATATTTTTAATATAGTTATCCCAATCTACTGCCATGATTTTCAAATACTTTCACTGATTAATGATTGCTGTTTAGTCCATCATATTTTAAAAATATTTACTAGGCCGAATTTGGTAGATCCCAGGTCAAATGAATTTTATGTCATCCTTAAAAGCTACAACATTTGTCATCTTTTCTTTTTCTAGATTAGATGGCTTTAATGATGTTGCTTGAGATGAGGCCTGTGATGGAAACAGTCAGTGCCTACTGTTGGGGCTACTTCAGTTTTAGCATTAAATTAAAAATGGTGGACTTAAGCTGACGGAAGGACAAAAATTATACAAACATTTAATTTAACTGTATGCCATCTGAACATTTAACGGCTGTGACATTTTAAAGCATTCTTGGATTGTTGTTATTCAAACAAAATGTTTAAGATAAAAGAAAAGTGACCTGTAGCGAGGCATCAGAGCTTAAGAGGAGCAATATTCCACAGAAATATGCAAACACTTGTCAAATTCATTATCGGTTTTTGGATGGAGTTATAATTTCTCACCACAAACTACAAAATATTCTAAGGAAACTGTCACTCATGCTGTATCTATCTTGCCTTGATAATTAGATATTATCAGAATAAAGATTATTCTCATAAATTTTACAGGACATGGTTGATATTTTAAATCAAAGTAGATCACTTAAAACTTCAGGAGATTTTTTTTTATTACTAATGAAAAAAATATAGGTTTAGCAATAATTTATATTGGTGGTCAAATGATAGTTAATGAAATTCATCTTTGTGTGGTGTTTTTGGACAAATAATATATTGATGTGAAGTCTATGGGTAATGAAGAGTAATTCATTTTGACCAATATTTGATCAAAAACTGCCAAATTTTAATGAGATATTTTTTCATTGGGTCTGTCCTTTCTGAAATTCTAGCTTCTTTCTTGGCATCTGTGATTAATGTGCATTTTTTCCATGAGCTTGATTGCCAACATGCTAGATCAAGGGTCCTCAAACTGTTTAAACAAATGGGCCAGAACAGTGTGTCTCATACACTGTCGTAGGCTGGGCTATAGTTGGAAAAAAATATGAACAAATTCTTACTCTATGCACACTGCACATATTTCATTTGTATTGAAAAAATAATAAAAAGTAAAGTTTTTAAATAAAAAATATATCCGACATAAACTTAATAGTATTTAAAGGGGGCGTGAGGACCTGCTTTTGGCTAATGAGATTATCCATTTTCAGTTCCATATTTGTAGCTTTTGACAAGGTACTTTAATGGCAGTCCAGATTTAGGACCCTTGTGCTAGATTAAAGATGTGTTTGAGGACCCCTGTGCTAGATTAAAGAAGTGACTTGTTAAGAGTTAAACTTTTAGTGCACATTTTTTTGGATTTTTGAATTTACACTGTGTTGTAAGCCAATCTGAGATGGTTTGTTCAAACCAATGAAATGTTACATGTTCATGTATTGTAAAACCTACACCTTTGGGAGCTGTTTTTTTCCTTCACTTTTCTTTTTACTTGACATTTTGTATTTTGATACATTTGAACCTATGTAAATTTTGTACAAAGAAAGACAATTATTTCTCATTGTACAGCTCTGAAACAACAAAATTTAGAATTGGTTGCAATGTTTGAAGTTAAATGTCAGGTTTGTATCTTTGTCTTTTTTGTACTCTGTTGGTTCGACCTGTGAGTGTTAATAGATGCGTTATTGCCAGCATTGTACACATAAGAAATGTTTTGATGGATGTGATATGGTGACGCCTGTCTTGATTTGCCTTGTCTACTCTTTGAACAACATTCACTGCTAAATTAATCCTATTTCTAAGCCCAATAAATGCACAGCAACCATGTATCGGTGAATAGTTCAAGAGCTGTACGTTAACTCAAATATCTGACATGGTTCTAAAGTAAAGGCATTTATTGAATATTGTGTTATGAATTATAATAATTAACCTTAAAAAATGATAAAAGAACGAACTTGAATGGAACATCTACTGTAAACATCAAATCCGTAATGTGCGCCATTTCCCTTACTGTAACGGAAAAGCTTGATATGTACCTGTTCAGTAGTTGTCAGAGGATCAATTTGACCACTAATTTGGAATATGCAATCCTTTGGAGAGAATAGAGCTATTATATTTAGTGTTGAAGAGTCCTGTATGTGGTGACTTGCAAGAGTCGTCTGTAAGTGCTATGAAGTTGAGAACTTGGTCTAAAGAACAAATAAACTCTGGTAAATGAATGAAAGCGCCATTGTTGACCTGTAAACTTATGTTCTCTTGTTTGTGTGCACTCAATATAAGTTCTGTGAGACTGGTACAGATTGTTAAATGATACGCATTAAAATGCTTTTGTACAAAACTGACACAGCCCTTATCTGCAATTATATGCATTAATTGTGATGGTCTTAAATTTACACTGAAGTTCCATGGCAAAGAACTACAAGCTGGGTTCATTTATATAAAAAATGTTTGAATGTCTTGTACAATTTGCACTTGTGTGAGTGAGTGACCTTTTCTTGTACAGTTAATTACTAGAGGTCATTCAACAAATTGCTAGGATCACTTCAAACATTTAGAATTATCATAGTTCAATATTTCCACAATGTAAATAAGATGTCTTGTACATAGGTATGTTTGGCTACTTTATGTCTGAGCCTAAGAGGCTGTCATATTTAGCATGTACTGTTGTCTGTCATATTTATTATTTAACTGAATTTGGTGGAATAGTCTGGTATGATTATCACTCGCTAATGCGTAGCTGTCAAACATTAGTTCCATTGTCGTATTAAAAAATTGTAAACCTTGCTTCTTTAGTAAAGTTGCCAGAATTAAAGAGAAATACTAATCACAATAAAACCCATTTAGCTTGGAGGTATATAAAAAAATAATTTGTTAAAAGTAATTTAATGCTATAACTAAATTTGACCAAAGAAGTATCGGTACTGACTTTACTTGTTAACATTGCATTTTAGTTACTTTGTAGTTTAATTTCATTTGTTGTTAATCAGTCAATATCTCTACCATCTGAGTGTAGAGGACTTGTGTGAGCATAATACAGAATACTGAAATTGAACCTGTAGCACTTTTATCCTCTTCTATTTCTGCTAAGAGTAAGAAGAGCTATTTTCAGGTTAGTTTCAAACCATAGCTCATTAATAATATTTAAAAATCCCAATTGCTATTCATCAAAAGGAATTACGGTATATTCACATTTTCAGCTATTCATGAAAATCAATTACAATTATATTCATATCTTCAAAAATTTGAACCTAAATAGGATATGATAGCTTTCAAGTGACATTTTTTAAACAATAAAAAAATTATATTTGAGGTGAGTTTGGGCTGCTTGACTGAGGTAACTCTTTCCTCCTGTTGTATGCTTGTTTTTTGGGGGATAAATTTTGTGGAAATCAGAGTAGCAAGATTTCATCATTTATTTGAACATGTGTACAGAAATAGAAATATTGCAACCCCTGTGATTCAGCTGTTTGATACACTCTATATATCATAGATGGAATAGTTGTGTAAAGTAAAATATAGATTTTGTTCTCAGTTGATCAACAATGGGCTTTCTTCTGCTTAATCTTAAGAGAGACACTGTCTTGGTTTAATCTGCCAGTATAACTGTGAATATTTGTAGAATCTTCAATCCAGGGGATCATCTATCATATTTTTCCACTCCTAATGCACTTCAATTAAATAAAAATATGTTTCACATGATCGAGTGAATGTGTAAATATTATAAATGTATAGGATTGGATACATGATTTTTCTTAAAGCTTAAGGGGCAGTCTGCTTTTGTGGTTATGTGATACTTTTTGCTGTGTGCAAAAAAAAAAAAATAGGAAAAATGTTTTTTTTTGGACTGTAATGTTGATGAAAGAGTTTGTAAGTAAGGCAGTTCTGTCATTTTTCATTATGGCCACCCGTAGTGTTGTCCACTTAATTGAAACCCAGTAAAATGTATGAAAAAAAAGTTCTCTTCTGTGTGTATTGTTTTCATCTACAAGTAAAAGATCTTACATATGCCTCTCTAGCTGTTTACTCTACATCGCATTCATCAGCTAGAAAATTAAAGACATGTTATTTAAAGTTGCTATGTACCAGTAGTAAAAGGTCTGGTTCTGACTTTATTAATTAATGGGGACATTAAAATTACAAAGAACGGTTTCCAATTAGACCTTTTATTTTTTATTGTGCAGGACTGCTTTAAAACTAAGCTAAGAGTGCAGAGTATTCATTTTATCTAAAGTTTATAAAATTTAAGTTTGATGAAGCTTTCACATTTTAAATTTTATGAGCGAGATTTTTTTGGATGGCTATGTTCTAATGCACCACCATAGTTGTGTTAATGTAGATTATCAAACCTTTTTTTAAACATTTAAATGGACTAAAAAAAAAAAAGAACACTTGTTTCAGCTGCAAACTTATGGTTTCTACGCTGGTGCTGGTATTTTAATGAATTGCATTAGTATGCATCCATTTTGAAATGAAGGGAATTTAACTTAAGATTATAACATCTGCTTGCTAGTTGCAAGATGTTTTGAGACTACAATTCAATATTAATCATATTATTTTAAAATCCAAATTCTGCATTTCTGGCTTTAACTTTAAGCCATAAATGTGTTACTTCCTTCACAATGTTTAATAGTGGAGTCTATAATTAACCAAACCTGACTATTGGTTTAAGATCATTTATACTTCAACTGTCTAAATAGTTATTCACCTGGGTGTTCAGGAATGAGATTTGCTTGCAGTTTTTTCCTTAATAAATATGTACAGTACAGTATGTACTAATGAAAATATCAATTATAAAAATCTTTGTGTCCTAGCTGTATACTGAATTCCTCTGGAGCTCAGGTTCCCAACTTTTTTTAAAAAAAACTGGATCCCATTTTTATAGAAGTCAGTGAGGTGGTTGAGGTTTAATGACAACTTTGTGTTATTTCTAAACAATTTCTGTTTTGTTTTCAAATCTTAAAACTGCACCCTCATGGTGATGAGTAGAATCACTCTCATGGTGATGAGTAGAATCACTCTCATGGTGATGAGTAGAATCACTCTCTTGGTGATGTGTAGAGGCAAATAGGAGCATTTAAATAGTATTCAAACTTTTGAGCAACTCATTAAAAATACATTACATTATCATTAATTGTATTAATTATACCATTAATTTTTTTAAATTTTAGGTTAAGTGGTTGTATTGTATCAAATCAACTAAGCCCAACAAAGATAAAATTAAAGTGAAAAGAAATTTGTTACCCATACCAGTCATTTTTTTGGGCAATGCTCCTTCCAACTTGTGCTGTCTGGTAATTCATGCTCTATGCAATATATTTTTCAAAGGTTGTTAATGAAATTAATGTTTACTATTTAATTTAAAGAGATGAAAACACCTTTTCCTTGGTCACATCTTTTATATTATTTCACGTATATCGTATGTAACCCATTAGCTTGAAAATTTGGCAAAGGGATATTTTAGAAGCAAAAATCCAGAAATTATACATTTCAGCATGAACTATAACTACATAATCACAGTACATAGTTTATTTCTTCATAATCACAGTACTCCTTACATAGTTTTCTTGAAGACCACATTGTCTTTGTCAAAATGCGGCAAGATGTTCTTAAAAAGAAGAATGGGAATGCAACATAAAGCAAAAGAACTAAACTCACCACTCTTCTCATTTTAAAATTAAAATATAAAAGTATGAGAAATATGGTATAAAAATAATAATGTACAGTTGGATTTATTTTACTTGGTATCATGAGTGGAAAAAGTATCATGAGTCGAAAAAGAAACAATATACAGTGCATGATTTCTAGAATTGGGCAATGTAGAGCTAAAGGCAAAGGGCCATCCATTTATTTATGTATGGTACGCCAAAAAAAAGTCAAATCCATATATTATTATGAACACACAAAAATGAGCAGCGACAAAAAGAACAATGATGTAATTATAATTAAAAAAAGGTCCATGACAAATCAAGTGGGGCGGGGGGGGGGGGGTGGATGGATAAAATTTGGGGGGGGGGGGGGGGGGGGGGGGGGGGGGGGTGGATGGATAACATTTGGACTGATGTATTTAGTAGTAGTCCTCAAATCCCTTCATTTCTATTTTTTTTGCTGGAATTTTGAAAATTAACCCCATTAAACCTTAATTCTCATAACTGTGATCACATTGGCGGAATAACAGATTTGGGATGTAGCACAAAAATCCATGTTTGGGTGCCTGGTATTGTATAGGGCTGAGATAAATTACTGTGAATTTGGAAGAGTGTAAGTACTTAAGTCGAGGTCAAAGTTGATTGATGCTCACATCTAGTGATGGAGCACATAGCTTCTTTGACAAAGTTATTTTCAAACACATTTGCGTCTATTGCCTCAAGCCTTCCAAACCCCAGTGCATGATTCCCTCACAAAGTAGCAGTTGCAATAAATGAAATATCCTCAACACTAGGCACAGAAACATTGCAAATCCACTCTACATGCATAGGAGACAAAATTATCAATACATTGATCGTGGGCCCTTAATATATAGAAGAAGAAGAAGACATCATAGAATAATTTTTGGGGCTAACAACGGAGATCTTAGGTGGGAGATTTTTGTACATAAATAAATCAGTGAAACTAAGTTTATTGACTGATTGCCAACCCAAATTCCTCTTGGGCAGATTTTCGTTGTATACCGGTAATTTCATTAGACCTGGGCTAGTCCTGTCACTTTAATACTTTTCTGGCAAGATATGTTCATTTTCTTTTGTTCTGTTCAAGCTTTTACATTCCTATCTCAGTCCTATTATCATATTCTATCCAATTATCTATCACTACCAGTTAGTTAAGTCTATTATTACTACACAGATCCTAACCCTATTATTATCTCATTCTATCCAATTATCTACCAGTTACTTAGTCTATTATTATTACTACACAAATTTAATTTTAGATATATGATTTTCAGATCATAGTATGATAATAATGGATTTTTCCCTAACACAGAAAGGAAATTATGTTCTACTGTACCAAGGGTAATAAATATACCAAGTAAAGGGAAAATGGGAGTGATGACCTGGAGATGCTGAGTTTACTTTCACACCAAATGTGTGGCATTATGGTGTGATAACTTGAAGATGCTGAGTTTACTTTCACACCCAATGTGTGGCAATATGGAGTGATAACCTGGAGAAGAAGAGTTAACTTTCAAACTTAGTAACACTCAGCCCCCTTTCACACCAAATGCATGGCATTCTCAAGAACAAAGGGTGAAAATATCATTGGAGATGTTCCAAAACATGAATAGAACCCTAAAAAGCCCATGCAAATCTCTTAGGGCTAGGATGAAGTAAGGCATTTAGACAGTTGAAGCAACTCAAGGAAATAATTTATCTCAAGTGACTAGGTATATCATTCACTAAAGATCTTCTACCTCTCCTCTCTCACGCAAAATCATTTTAATCAGAAATAAATTGGTTATATACCCAATTCAGCTAGAACTGACTTTCCTATCCCAGAGAAATATGCTGACCTCACTTTGTGTAATACAGGAGTCGATGATCCAGAAAGAATAATGGCCATTGGGAATGATGATCTGCTCTCAGAACTGGACATGGATGTCATTTATGGAGACCAAATATTTAATAAATCAGCCAGCATGTTTTATCAGCTGTATGCATGGCGATTCATATCCTCCATGTATTTATTTTCTCTTGGAAAAAAAGTAATATGGATACATACAATTGTAATTGTATCAACAAAATATTTTCAATATTGCATAAAACAGTGCAAAATATAACAACCCAAAAGATACTCCTGGACTTTGAAATGCATGTATGTCTGTGCATGTTTTGCTACTCCAGTTGCTTTTTCACATGCAGCAATTAAAGGTGCTACTTTCACCTTTTTGTTATTAGAAATTAGAAAGTTTTGGCTTAAAGAAAATGTACAAGCTTGATATTGACATGAAGTTGAAAATGAAGTCACTACCTAAGCTCTCTCTCCTTTGTGCCAATACCATATGTAAAAACTGTCTTTGATTAGCTTTCCCATTCCCACAATGACAATACAATGAAGTTTTCACATATTTCTTCTCCACCTACATTGAAGGAGTTGCAAGAAGATCAGTATCTCTTTCCAATCATTATGAGGCTGCTGCTGAGAGATCACCCTAAAATACAAATTGTTGTGAAGATTTTCACGCCTTTAACTTATTGTTTCATCGTAGTCACCCTAGCATTTGGAACCTGTTAGATGGCTTAAGACGAGATATCCCATGCCGGCTATTATTATTAGCCAATGCTCGTATGGGTCGCCAGAAGTCAGAAAAAAGATATACGAGACCCTGTGTAATCAAATAGCAATAGATTATTAAAATCAAGAAGATAAAATTATTTTTTTACGCCAAATGGCCAACATGCAGTGATTTTAAAAAATTGTATAATTATTTCTTATAATATACAGATAATTCATTAACTTTTTTTTTTACCCATAGTTCTGTTTTTTTTTCATTTTTCATGTTATTTAATCTGGTTACCCAAATAGATATATCTATAACACTTTTAATGTATGTCATGTAAATAGACCCTTAAAAATTATTACTTGGATATATGCCTTCATTGTAATGATGACTTGCAGCAAATTGCATATCCAATGAAACTAACACAGATGAGTGAGCTTGTACAATGAGTTGCCAATGGCATTACATTACATAATAAGTTATAAATTCTAACTGGATAATATTGGTACTGGTAATGAGAAGTGCCTAAATAATAATCCGAAAGTCTTTGATTAAATTTAAGTTGGTTAACTTTTATAAACCTTACACAAATGAAATCTTCTGCATGTCATCTATTGACATTAACTCAGATTTGAACATCAATGTGTTTTTAATTTGTTATAAAGTTTTCTAGACAAAATTCTATTTCAGTTTTACCATTGAATTGAAATTTTCTTAACACTAATAAATTATACATTTCAAATAGGTGCACCATGTATGCCATTTGGATCAATGTAAACAATTATTTCATTTTGGGGTATATGTGGTGCAAACACAACTTTTAGTTTCCTATATGTTGGTTCAAATGTGACCTCAGGAGGATTAATATTTTCCAATGAGGCCGTAGAGAGCTTAGGACGAGACAGCATAACCCTACAAGTGATCTGATTGGACCAAGTTAGACCAAGAGCTGGAATGACTTCCAATTCTGTTGTTTTGTTCATATTTGCTGATACCTGAAAAATAAATCAAAAAGTTTTTCAGTAGAGGTTTTAAACACAAAGTAGAAAATTATTTGAAACATTGTCATCCTTTTACTTGGAGTACAATACTAATACAATTTTGTTAACTATACAGTACAGCATCAACTTTCCGAAAGCCTATTATCCGAAGTATCCGTTATCCAAACTTTTAAAAATAATAATAAATTTTATTATTATTATTATTGTACGCAACGCGCATGGCATGGAACAATTGTATACAAACATCAGAAAACATCTACCGACATCTGCAGCACAATTCTTATAAAATCTAGATACCGGGTACATACTGTTGATGCTGTGACCAGACTGGGATTATACTACCAGTATCTTAATAGTGAATTAATATATATCACAGAACCAGCATCTATTTTTGGAAAAGACATCTTCTCAGAAAAAAAAATCATTCTAGTCCTCACCTCACTGGTATTTGACATCAATCAGCTGACCCTTTATATATCATATGGTCGTAGTATGTATAGTTAAAATACACTGTACACTAAAGCACCATATGTGTATACCACAACTTTAAGCTTTAATGGTAAAAAATATTTTTTCTTTGCACTAACTTCTTAAGTGCAACCTCTGGTTATCTGAAAGCAAAATTATACGAAACACTCCCAGGCCCAATTATTTAGGAAATTTACTCGGTAATTTACTGTGGGTTCAGTAAAATCTACATTTTTATGGCATTTAAGTTTAAGCTGCAGCTCCCTACATTTTGTTAGATAAAAAGCAACCCTTTCTCTCATCTGTCATTAATTCTGTACCTGATTGATGCACACAATGGGGATGTTGTGCTGGTATGCAAGTGAACGCAAGAATGAAGCAAACTGAGATAAATGTTTAGCCCGTTCAAATGTCTGTGTGAAGTCATAGTGACATCGAAATAAAGCTGCCACAGAGTCTATGACTATTAGGTGAACTAATCCTCTGTTCAATAAGGTAGGCAATTTCTTTTTTACACACAATTCCATGGTTTCCTTAATCAAAAAGAAAGATGCACATATTGCTAAATATAAATTAATTAACAAGTGCTACAATGCAGATTTATGTAAAGTCACATTTATTATATATACTGGCAACCTCTATCTAAAGGTTTATCAAAGAATGTATTAACATATTTCAAATTATTTTTACCCACTTGAGTGTTAGTGAAAACAACTAAAACTTGTAACTTTCACCAAAGTGAGTTCTGGAAATAATTTAATCTTTGGGCTGTTAACCCACGAACTGTGGCATAGATCATTCTGTAGTGTGGGAGCTTTTCAGAGCTTTTTGAGTGTCTTTAGAAATAGCATTAAATGACATAGAAATATTGATACAAGACCCCAATAAGTATATATTTTTAGAAAGGTAAATGGATGGGGATAAAGTTGGCTGTATTGCCCACCTGTAAAAGAGATTTTGTTCAGTGTCCTTGACCTTGGAGTTGGAGTGCTCAAGAAAAAAAAAATTGACAAATGTCTTGCTTTCATAACATCATTAATTTTTTTTATAGATTCCATTAAAATGCTAATACAAATGTGGTAGCCAAATCATTTATCTTTCAAAGAATTTATAGTTTGCTAAGGTTTTGATTACAATTAAGCCTCTGAAAGCAATTTTAGTAATTTTAGGTCATTTATTAGTGAAAAAAATAAGCAATTAGGACCACAGCTAAAACAAAGTACAACATAAAAAAATCTCAAGCAAAAAAGTTAGTATTGACTAGTAAACATTTAAAAAGGAACTGATTTGGGTTGTTAAAACATAAAATTTATTAGTTCTGATCTATAATCTGTAGCTTCTGTGACTAAAATTCAGTCAGTCCTTGCCCAACCTCTAGGCCTGACTTGAAGTATATCAGTAGGCCTACTTCAGTAGCACTAAGACTAGTATTAGATTCACTAGACGAAGAAAATCATCATCAGTATCACTTAAATCCTCCCTTAAAAAGCTTTCAAAAATATTTCTATTGGTTCTCGTACTGAAGGCCGAACCATAGCTTCAGCCATGTTAGCTTTAAAAAAAAAAAGCGATATAAAATTCTGATTAAAATGTACTTATTGTTCAGTTAACAAACAGCTTGACCCAGAAGATTATTTAATTATTATTACTAAAGGAAGTGGTTATAATTCCGGTTAAATATTGGATTGGAAGTTGCTATTGGACCGTGTTTTTTATTGGCAGATTTTTTAGGCCACCACAATACATAACAAAAATATTGGCCGATTTTTTCGTCCGACCACAGTTTGTGGGTTAAAATTGCAGTCTGTATCAGTAGTTTTCAACCTTAGTTTAAACTTGCAACACATTTATCTAATTACCGTTAATTTATTCCCATATTGCAAGCTAATTTAAATGACGTGGAACATTTACTACTCACAAAATCTGCCACATGCTCTATAAAGATTTTGTCTCCCAAATTGTGACCCGGTGACTTGGTCGAATGAGACTGTATCAGCTGTTGTAATCTCTTACTGGGAAAAACATCTTCTGTACATATGTAAACAGCCCCTGAAACAATTCCAAAAATACACACAGGCACAGATCATGATTTGTTTACTACATCTATTTCAAATATAATTGTGAACTTATTATTTGTTTTTTTAAAACAATTGAAATAAATGGTACCGGGTAATTAAAATTCACAAAGATCTATTTACCTCCAGGATTAGATTTGTTTAACTGAACAGCGATACAAAGCTGTAGACAAAATTGTGTTTTCCCACAAGCACTTTCTCCTGATATTTCTGTTAACACTCCTGATATAATACCACCTTTTAAATTAAAAAAAGAAAGTTTAAAAAAACATAATTAAAAACAAACGGTATTCATAAAAAACAAGTACCGGTAATAAACTGAAAAATTAGATTAAAATCCTGGTCTTTTCATGAATCATTCACTCTTACTCCTGGCATGAACTGGTAGGGAAGAAAAATATCAATCATGGACTGTGTGGTTTGTTAATTTAATTTAAATGCATCAACTTTAAACAAGTGTTCTTACCCTGAAGTCTGATGACCCCTTGGGATCCATAGATTTATTTGAGGCACTACAAAACAGTAAGACCTTTCTATGATCTAACTTTGGTATGCTAGATGTCTAAGAGTAATTAAAGACCAATAATCCTAAGTGAAAGAATGGATAGTTCATAAGTTCACAGCAAGTGGTTATGCTGTAAATTTGCTATAAGAGAAATATAGTGATGAATAAAGAAATTGCAAAGTCAAATCAATAAGGTGCAGTCTAAATGCTCCAGTTTAAAAATAATGATAAATACACTCACACAACTAAGTCTACAATGTCCTGACATCTCACTTAGCCTTTATTAACTTATTTTTTAAGAAAGCTCTCTTTTCTTACGATTATTTTGTGGCTCCTGCCCATGATACATTTTATGTACAGTATTTGGAACTAACACCGATACAAAAATGTTTGACCAAGGAAAAAAGTGCTTTTATCTCTAAATAGTATCTCAGACTGATTACTTCTGAAGTTATAATGAAAGATGAACCCCAGTGGTTGCCAACTTAGTTAGCTTTCATGGGCCTCAAAATCCGGTTTTATCAGCTTACAAAACAGTCAATTTTAAGGAGGTTGGACTATGATAAAACTTTTAAGTACCGGTAGATTAATGAGACACAAACAGTTGACACAAGTTGACAAGATCAAATTCCCTCTGGAAATATTCAGAATCAAAGATTTTTTTACTTGCACAAGTTGCAACATGATTTACACCATCCTTTGTAAAAAGTGTGGAAAATTATACACAGGGGAGACTGGTTGTCACCTTGGAGACTATTTCAGAGAACACCTGCACAACATCACAAAACAAGCCTCTTCCCCCTTTTTTAAACATTTCAATACCCGGTAGTGCTAACCATAGTGTAATATTATACATTGTATTTATTTTGGTACCATATTGTATGCCAGTAATCCACCTGATAGAATTTATATGGAAAATAGATTAATAAAAAAAAAGATGTGGTACTGTACATTGACTCTATATGGTATAAACCAGAGCCACAATTTTATGTAGCTGCTTTGTCTTTTTTTATATTGTACTTCCACTCACTTTCTTTGCGTTCTTCTGAACACATGCGGCCGGACAATTTATATTATGCAGCCCTCAAGGGCATTTAAAAAGAAAAACTTTGCTTCGTCTTTAAGCTATTTTGTTGAATTTTACAGAATTTCATGTTACGATTGTTTTAACATTTTTTAATAAAATTTCTTTCTAATTTTCCATATTTTTTTCGTAAACTGTCCTTTAAATTAGAAATCAACAATAGTAGTTACAATGTAATCAGTTGGTGTCTAAATAAAAGCCATTGATAGATAATAACAACGTTTTATTATAATAAAAACAATTGAAAAATTTTGTAAACAAATTAGTAAAAGTTTGTCTGCATTGTAAAATAAAATATGTAAGTGTATAAGTAAAATAAAATCGCAAAAATTGGTTATTTGTACTCTTTAATAACCAATAAATAATTCATGTCTTATTGTGATAGGTTGCTGTAACCAAAGTGAACATAATATATATGTTGCCCCCCAATAGCTTCACATTTGTTATTGTGGCCTTACGCCCCTACGCACAAAAAGTTTGCCCACCCCTGGTGTTATCATAATTAGCGCTTAGCATAGCATGCTTATTTGTTTCATTAAACTACAAACTAGCAGTACCGGTAGTTGTTAGTGTATCCAAAGAGCTCTATCAAATTTACTCAATTCTCCTCAGAGAATTTCAGTTAAGCCCTGTCATTGTCTTAGCTAAGACTGAGTCTAAAGCTAACATTTCAATGGATTATGCTATTAACCTTAAATTATACTTTAAAAAATATTGCAACTATACTACTACTAGCATTTTGAGGTAATTTATAATATGAATTTATGAGCAAAAAATAAATAAATAAGGACTTCACCTCCCAATGTTTTGTCAATTACTTCACAAGATGTGGAGAGTTTCCAATGTAGTAAAGATGGCTCAGCTTTGTTATGTAGTATGTCTAGCGCTGAAAATAAAACACAACATAAAAACACTATATCCTAGCACTAAATGTTAGAAGTAAATTAATGAAATAAGATTTTTATATTATCTATTCAGTGCCAGGTGTTAAAAGTTTAATTTTCAAAGGTAAAAATTCCATTGATTAAAACATTAATTTCAATTTTTAGTCCTTTAACTTCACATCTGTATTTCTAAAAATGTTTAGTCTTGACTGGCAGAAATGTATCCACATTGCAGCAGGAACTTGAGCCCAATTCATTGATTATTATTCCTATTCTTTTTCATCTTATTACATTTTCACCTTTTGTCAACCAACATCTGAGGGCTTGGGGAGCTATAACTGTTATGAACTGGACTTGAGAGGGTGATTTTTGTGTGTGTATGAAAGTTGTTGGTTGTGAGATGGTGAGAGGTTTTGTGAAGGCGAGGTGTGATTGGTCGGGTTATGCAAGGTCAGTTCATGAAGTCAGTTTTGTCAGTCAGTATGTTGAGTTATCGTCCAATTCCTCATTAGTCAGTGAGATGAGTTTTTGTAATATAACTTAATGTAAGTGTCAGTGCAGTGAGGATTAACATGGAGGATGTTTTGTCAACTGCCAGTTGCTGTGATTAGTGATAGGATCCTGTAAATAAAGAACTGTTATAACTACGTTCATTGAACATTGTTCTTGCTCTTAAGTGTGGACCGAGTGTGGCTGCCCTGTAGTGAAGTTAGACATTGGTGCCAATGATAAGAATAAGAAAGGCTATTGTAATATTCGGCACACTGAACTTCTTTAAGTCCTTGACCCTAAGCCCTCAATTAAATCTTTTAATACATTTTCCTAGACAAGGGAAACTACTGCGATGTTCATACCATATGATGATATGTATATTTTATAAAATTGTTTTTAGTACGGTACCTAAATATTAATCAATTTTAAAAAAACATTGCATTCAGAAATGGATGAGCTTTCAGAAAAATATAACATTACTGATACAACTAGACCAAAGGACAACAGAAAATAAAGAAAAATATACCGGTAACAAATGGCATTTTTTACACTTTTTTTTACATTTAATCCAACTTAAAGTTTTAAGGGATGTTAAAGTTTATTTCAGGCTGTCATGGTAAATGCTATGGCATTGTCTAGCATGCAAATACACTTGGTTCAAATAGAAGCTTTTGGTGGTCTCCTTTGTCCTGCCGCTGGGCATTTTTGCGCCTCCCATGGCACACTGGTAGCATCTACGTTTTCTGCCCAGCATTGTAGTTGTAAACAGTCTATGCTTGGGGATGAATGGTCTTGCGATGCCAGCAATACTTGGCCTGTTAAGAAAAGGCCTGCTCGATAGGTTTTTAGATTCAGCAGTTGCTCCAGCTTTGCACGGAGCTGGAGGTGGCACTCATAAAGAGGCGAATGGGGGTTCACCTTCTTTATCAGCAGATAGCCATTGACGATTGATATCCCCACCACTTATGGCTTGGTCTTCCCACAAAATAATAATAATAATAAGAATAAGACTGGTGCTGGTCTCCCAAGTCAACAAGGAGTCGGATTATCCTTCATGTACTACTTGAAGCCAAGTCTTCCCCTAAACCCGACCATGGCTTCATCAACACTCATTTGTTTTTAAGGTTTGTAAAGTAACAAGCAGTTGTGTCTGTTATGGTCAAGAAAAGGCCTCACCTTGTACAGGGGGATTATAATTTTGGCTGTCCTTTGCGGGTTGCAGTGAACTGTCACTGACATGAAAAAAGCGGTGAATCAATTTATATCTTTCTCGGCTTATGACGTCTGCCACTGCAGGGAACTTCCACATATTATCAGAAGAGCAGTCAAGTCTTCAATCTGGAACTTGATGGAGGCTAAACATAATATTGATATAAATGTACTTTTTGATGTCATCTGCATTCACAGGCCTCCATGTTATGGCAGAAGCACTATGGTCAGATGGTCAGACTGGTTGCCCGTTGTTGAAAAACTCATCTAAACAAACATTTATCCGTAACATAGAGTTTGAAAAAGTCTATTGGTAGGCTGTCAATGGGAGATCAAGAAGACTCCCTTCATATTCAGAAAATATGCCCATATTTTCTGTGATGGACAGTGCATCGGACCCTTCCACGCCAGTATGATTAGTTATAGAAGAAGGACCATCAAGGACCGTATTGTGATCAGAATCACTACGTTCTAAACACAGTTCACTTACATTCATCAATATCAAAACCCTCATCCATCTAATAACTGTTCATGACCATCCATAAGGGACTGCAGGAATTGAAGAGCCATAATTACAATTTCACAAATACTATCACTCTGATCTGACTCACTTGAGACATGCTTTATAATTATAATCAACGGAACAAGATACAAACAAATTTTTTTTTTATTGATGAATGCTCATGGAATCTCGCTGCTGTGAGGTTATCATTAGAAATCTCGGGGATGCATGACTTTGTTACAAGGGAGAAAAGAAAAGTAGGGGGGTTTGACCAGTTGCATATGGATGCATCCGTCAAAACCCCCAAAGGACCCATTTTCATTTAGTTGTGCCGCCAGGATGAGTTAAGAAAAATGGTCATAACAATAGGGATCTGCTGAGCCACAAATTTGAGGACTGGTTCAATAAACTTTCCCTTGAATGATGTCTTTGATTCTGTTTATTGTATTGTACCAGTATTAATTATTTCAAATTTTAATATTTAGACCTGCGGTAAATTTAATATTGTTATAATTTTCCAAAACAAACCCTGATTTGGCCTAATTAAATATATAATTACCTGTGCAAGGTTTGCGTGATATACATCTTTCAGCTATCAGATCTTTTACCATTAACACCTCTTTAGAAGAGAGGGAAGTAAGTCGTTCAATGTCAGGGCTTGACAGACTGAGTATTTGCCTATAATCTGTTAGAAGTGCTATTAGAAAAAGTTCAAAGAATTGATTAAGCTAATGAAACTTGAAAGCTTAAATAATGATAAATTGTATATTTGGCTTCTGTTAACTCTTTCATTACCACTGGTTTTGGGCATCGATTTTTGCTGACTCAGCAATAATAATAATATAATTAATAATAATAAAAAAAATTAAAAAAAAAAAAAAAAATTTTTTTTCTTTATTCTTTTTTTTTTTTTTTTTTAAAAAAAAAAATAAAATAATTAATAATAAAAAAAAAAATAAAAAAAAAAAAAAAAAACTCTCTCTCTCTATACCGTATATATATATATTTACCCGGTATATATATATATATTTATATCGGAAAATATCGGTATATTAAAATTTTTAAAGATATTTTTAAAATAAAATTTTCGGTATTTTTCATCCTCTATCGGATTTGCTTTTTAACTTCTCTATAGATTAACTAATTAAGAAATATATAGCATTGAAATATGACGACGACTTGACGTCCTTGGTATTTCAGAAAAGTTCTTTGCTTCTTTGTTATGTAGACAATGTGACGTCCTTGGTAATTGAAAGTGGGTGATCGTGACGTAGCGGTAGCGGTTAAGTTTTCAGACTTTTTATCCCAAAAATTAAGGTATGGAGATAAGCAGCATATGTATATGATGATGATGATTGAATACTTTTATAGCGCTTGTGTCCATGGTATTTTAGCATGCTCACAGCGCTGTGATGCCCTAAAATCTATTTAAAGAAAACATTCTTCAAATGTCTCTTAAATGAATTATTATTATTTTCATAATTTAGGCAAAATGGCCTATTTATAAACTTTAAACATAATTTTTCCCCAAAACGACTACTATGACATACTGAGCTGACGATGAGCCAAATTAATTAAACTACAAGTACAAACAACAATTTTTATCAGATTCTGACTCTGATACTTTTAAAAGTACATTTTCCAAAATAAGTTTATGGTCTGAGTCAAAACTAAAACACTTCTTTCTATGACAAAGGTTAGCTCTGTGCCTTGCTTATACTTATAAATGTATCTATGACTATGTTACTATATACTAATACTATATATTATTACTATAATTTCCCCCCTGGGGTTCCGGCTAACAAGTCTGTGGTGGCTTGGCGATCAGGAGGCGTTGGCCACCGACACCCTTGACGTTACGGTACCCAGGGAACAAGACCACTGTGGCGTGTCCTACATGGGCAGACAAGGGATGTGCTCGGTACCTGCCATAAATAAAACAGCACCTACGCCTACAGGGCTGCAAGCTATGACAATTCACAATTGGAAGTAAAAGCAGAGCCAGGGTTAGGGATCATGATTACAAGTTGCCATTAATGGATATGAGGCTAGAGGCGAAGGTGGTAACCTCTAGCCGATGATTCTTACCATGCAGCCCTGAGAAGCTGCTCCAAGGAAAACGTTTCGTGCCAGCTACTTCGCAAATTATTTGCGTCGTGGAAACCCACAGTAGAAACCCTCTTAAACTTAAAGGGGGTCCCTTCCCCGGGATGGGTGGGGGAAGATATTAGGATGTAAATTTACCATCCCAACTCCTGAGAAAGTAGATTCTTAGATTGTGTGCTCTGTGTGCAAACACAGTGTCGGACCGACCGGGTGTCTTTGGGTTGGGGTGGCCCCCAGCAGAACCCGATCGAGCGGACTCGGGTGGGGGCTGTCCTGGCAAAGAGACATCTGATCTCCAACGTGCCGCTTCGCTGCCCGGTACCGGGCATGGGGGGGGGAGGGGTGCTTTGGGGAGGGCTTAGAGACCATTAGCTAGACAGCTGGCTAACGCCATTTCTTAATGTGGCATTACTATAACTTATAATAGTGCCTAAACTTAACTAAACTAAAATCTAAAACTGTCTAGCCTAAATTATTTATTTCAGTATTAATAAAAATATATTTAATTATCATGAATGAATATGTAATAATCTCATAATTCCTTTAACTTTAAACTCTTTAATATTAGTACCCATGAAGTTTAACAGACCTTTCTTCAAAGCTGTAGCTATTTTGGGATTGATGTCAAGACTGTCAAAGACTTCGTTTTTATTATTCATTCGCAGATGGATTCTACTTGGCGATGAAACTAAATGAGAGCGCCATAATAATAATATCTCTTAATCTAGAAGAGCTACGCCCATTATTATTATTATTTTTTTTTTTAATTCGCAATTTATCTTCGTAAAGTAAGAAGAGTGATTTACTGAACTGATTCTGATTATCAAGCTTACTTACACACACACACAAATATATATCTTTACAAATTAATTATTTCAATGTTTAATTCTAAACTTCAACTCTGGAAATCGGAATGGGGAAAAAATATTCCAACTAATTTTTAAGTCCTAAAACCGAAGCCGCATACAAATTGTACTACAATGGCGTGGACACATTGGCATTGGCATTCATTCATTGGTCATTGGTGGTTTTTGGGGTGCAAAAATAAAAGAAAGAAATAGAAATTAAACAGCCCGTTGCCGTTAAAAAAAACAGCGTTTTTTCGTTTAAATTCTTTATATGATTGTTTGTGCGAATTAGCGATGGCTACAGTTCTTAAGAAATCACTGCATCATATTTCCTTCATCTTCTCCTTGAAAAGTCGGAAAAACTGATTTTGCGGGTTGGGACTGAAAATTTCATAGGATGTTTTGTCATCGGCAACGAGCCTATGTGCGACTTTCAGCTCAAATGGGTGAAGGGAAGTGGGTCAATTAGTATTAGCCTTCCGAAGAATTTGCCAGAAAGAAATATATGAACAAAGGTGAAGTTAATATAATTGGTTGGGAGTGGGAAGTGGGGCGGAAAATTTGACAAAACATGCATTCAAGTAACGCAATTTATAAGAATCTCAATTAGTGCCCCCCCCTCCCTTTCACCTATATATATCCTACCCGCTTTTACACCGCATAATTATTTCACCAACTATTTCCGTAAAAACAAAAGAAAATATTACACACCAAACACATTTGCGATAATTTTAAGAATCTCATTTGTTGATTAGCCAATGATAAGAATGACTCCACAATTGTTGAAATAATTAACTGGGGAGGGGGTGGGGGGGTCTTGGTACGGTAGTTGACCGTTGTTGACAATGGGCTCAAAAATTTGCATAAAAATTGTTGACATAATTAATGGAGGGCCCCCCAGGCGAAACGGTGGACCACAAAAAAAAAAAAGAAATTTGTTTTTTTAACAAAGCAAACAAAAAATCATTTGATAGCTCAGTATTTAAAAAAAAAATATATTGATATTTTTAATATTGAAAATATTTTCGATAGTCAATAATGATGTATCGTACCACATAGTTGCTTTATGCAACCTTATCATACATAATCTGAAAGTGAGATGCATTTTCAGGGTAGTGAAAAAGTGCACCCCAATCCCACCATTTTGAATTTATCAATTTTATTCTGGAGAGGGGCGAGTGGCCTTCCTCCCCATCCTCACCTTTAATTTAAATCCCCAGATTTTGAGTCAACATTATGGAGCAAACAAAAAACTCCTTTAATTATACGTCTATATCATATATCTATATATGTATGATACGTCTTGCAGACTAAAGGCCTACAGCTTTGAGCCTTACTTGATCGAATCTAATTCTAAATATTAAAAAAGGGAAAATTCAGCAATAGAATTTTGAAAGATAAAATTCGCAAATTTCTCAATGTTTGTGCACAGATTGTTACTATTTATTAGTAATAATAGTGCATAATTATCACTTAAAGTAGGGTCCATCACCAATACCCCAGAGGAAAAAAGCTCAAAGGCAGACCTAGGCTTAGATGGATGGATGATGTGGAAAAAGATCTACAACAGCTGAAAATCCAAGCATGGAAAAGAAAAGCATTAGTTAGGTCTGAGTGGAAGGAAGTAGTGAGGCAGGCCAATGCGCCACAGGGGTGGATGGATGGATAGGGTGACCAAAACAGAACGCTTTCAAGTTCAAGGACGGTTGTTTTGTTATTTTTTTTTTGGGGGGGGAGGGGGGAATACCCTTCAAATCCAATTAAAGAGGGGTCCGGGGGCCTCGGCCGGGAACTCTTCATTGAAATATGTTAATTTTAACTATGAAATCTAACCTAGAAATCTACTTGGGGCGCTCAGTCTTTTCCTGTTTCACCGATTTGATGTGTTGTTTTATGTCTGAAAGTCCACCATGACCAATATTAAAAACATTATTGCAAACTGTGCAAACGGCATCACTTTCATAGCGTCCCATTTTAATATAGTTCCACTCTTTGGAACACTCATCCATAAACTTAAATTGACGCTTGGGTATAATTATTGTTTACATGAGAAGATAATATAAAATTAAAGAATAAAGTTCAACACCCAAAACAAACACCTGACACGAACAGGCCGGCAGGGACCACACACAAGACTAACACATTACACGTAGCGGTCGTGGAATCAAAATTGTTTTCTGCACAGTTACATCCTCCCCCCACCCCCTGCGGCTTCAAGTATCGTGTCTTTCGCTATACGTTTACATATAAGATCTATGGCAGGACACTGTGGTGGAGAGGGAACGGTGCAGCCATCACGCGAGCCCACATCACTACTGGCACTGGCTACACAGCTAGTCAAAATATTATTTGAAATTTGAAGTTATTTTATAAATTGGGAAGTTTTGGTGATTAGAAAATGTGTTTGGTTAAAAAAAGAAACGGGACATTTAGGCGTCCCCAGAGACTTTTTCGGGACAACGGGTACGATCGTGAAAAAACGGGACAATCCTGTTTTTTATGGGACGTTTGGTCACCCTAACTTAAAGCCACCATTTAATTTTTCATCGCTCAAAAAAAAAAAAAAAAAAAAATTGTCTTTTTGCCGTAACCCCATTCGTCAACCCCCTTTTTTTTTTTCTTAGACTTTTTCGGGACAACGGGTACGATCGTGAAAAAACGGGACAATCCTTTTTTTTATGGGACGTTTGGTCACCCTAACTTAAAGCCACCATTTAATTTTTCATCGCTCAAAAAAAAAAAAAAAAAAAAATTGTCTTGTTGCCGTAACCCCATTCGTCGACCCCCTTTTCTTTTTTCTCCACGGGGATTAAAGTAAGAGCAGTTACCTCCCTAGTTTTGGGGGTTTTTTTTTGTTTTTTTTTAAAATGTTTTTTTGTATTTCCTCTTAAGTTTAAGCCATAGTTTAGTACCGGTAACTATCCAAATAAATGGATGTGTCACCCAGAGTTGCTGTCACACTATGCGGTGAACACCCTCCCATTGATTTCCCACATTGCCCCCGCCCCCCTTGCCACCGAGTCATCCTGTTCATGACCATAGATAATCTAGATCTATAATAATGTATCGGGTGTGAGCAATGTGATTAAACTTTTAAAGTTCCACAGGACATAAGAGTAAGAGTGGAAAAGTACACTTTTTGGCCAACAGCGTTTTCTAAACACTGGAACAAAATTACTAGGCCTACTATTTATTTTAAAATTTAACTTTACAGTTGAAGTGAAGCCTTCCTGTCCTGGTCTGCAAACTTATGAATAAAACTTAATAAAAACCAACAGCCGACATTTTATTACTTTCAAATGATAAAATTGCACTATCAGGAAACTGAATATTTCATTTTCAAGAATTATAAATATTGTAGCAGCATTTTCATACCATTCAGCTCTGTAGATTATTATGTCATGTCCATCAAATGACTCTCAAGATTTTTAAGAAGATCGAACCTTACGTGATCATCTTTTCCTTCCCTTAAATGGAGAAAATCATAGAAACATGTCATCTCACCACTCTCAATGGGCATTTGCACATATCTGATCAAGCAGACATGTGATCATTGCAGACTTCTGATTATAGCAGACACGTGATCATAGCAGATATATGATTTTAGCAGGCATATGATCAAGCAGATATGTGATAATTGCATACATCTGATAATTGCATACATCTGATTATAATTATAGCAGACATGTGATCATTGAATACATCTGATCAAGCAGACATGTGATCATTGCAGACATCTGATTATAGCAGCCATCTGATTATAATTATAGCAGTGAGCAGACATCTGATAATGCAGACATCTGATTATAATTATAGTAGACATGTGATCATTGCAGTCATCTGATCAAGCAGACATGTGATCAATGCAGACATCTGATTGTAGCAGACATCTGATTATAATTATAGCAGTTAGCAGACATGTGATCATAGCAGACATCTGATCAAGCAGACATCTGATCAAGCAGACATCTGATCAAGCAGACATGTGATTATTGCATAATTCTGATTGTAGCAGACATGTGATCATTGCAGACATCTGATTATAGCAGACATCTGATTATAATTATAGCAGTGAGCAGACATGTGATCATAGCAGACATGTGATCATTGAAGACATCTCATCATAGCAGACATCTGATTATAATTATAGGAGTGAGCAGACATGTGATCATAGCAGACATCTGATTATAGCAGACATCTGATTATAATTATAGCAGTGAGCAGACATGTGATCATAGCAGACATGTGATCATTGAAGACTTCTCATTATAGCAGATATATGATTATAATTATAGCAGTAAGCAGACATGTGATCATAGCAGACATCTGATCAAGCAGACATGTGATCATTGTAGATATCTGTTTATAGCAGACATTTGATAATTGCAGACATCTGATTATAATTATAGCAGACGTATGATCATTGCAGACATCTAATTATAGCAGACATCTGATTATAATTATAGCAGTGAGCAGACATGTGATCATAGCAGACATCTGATCAAACAGACATGTGATCATTGTAGATATCTGATTATAGCAGACATCTGATCATTGCAGACATCTGATTATAATTATAGCAGACATTTGATCATTGCAGACATGTGATCATTGAAGACATCTGATTGTAGCAGACATGTGATCTTTGCAGACATCTGATTATAGCAGACATCTGATTATAATTATAGCAGTGAGCAGACATGTGATCATAGCAGACATGTGATCATTGAAGACTTCTCATTATAGCAGATATATGATTATAATTATAGCAGTAAGCAGACATGTGATCATAGCAGACATCTGATCAAGCAGACATGTGATCATTGTAGATATCTGTTTGCTTAGAAATTAGTAAACTCTCTGTTGCAAGAGAATATACAGATGCTTTACATTTGTATTGTTTCTTTTAGTCAAGTCCAGGGAAAAAGTGAGAGTGATCCCAACTTGGGGTCCCCACGAAAGCCTAATCCTACCTGAGATACGTCTCGCTCTGGCAAATACTTCGGTTACAAAAGCCATTCTCCCCCACAATAGAACTAAGGGAGGAAGCATTGAAAGCCGATTGATGCCTATCCAGACAACATGGTTAAAGTCTTCACGGATGCTCATGCTATGCCAGGGACATCCGCAGTGGCTACGGTGCACTTATCTATACCAAGACGAGATGGCCCCACCCGAGGAGCCATCAGGGCCCAGTGGAAAGAACTGAACCTCAAGCCTTCCAACCCCCAGTGCATGATTTCTTCACAAAGTAGCACTTATAATCATTGAAATATCCTCACAGCACCAGGCATAGGAGCCAAAATGATCAATAAATTGATCGTGGGCCCTTAATATATAGAAGAAGAAGAAGCTTCGATGCAGAACTAGAAGCGATACTGGTAGCCGTTAAGAGAGTGCATCAATGCCTGGCAAGCATTGTATTCTTCACCCGCTCACGCTCTGTTCTCGAGAGTTCTCCCCCCCCCTTGTCCTATTTTCTTTCAACAGGCACAAGTTTTTCATAAAGTATTTTGGCAAGCCTTACATTATGAGTTGTGCAGGCCTGTTTTAGGGCATTACATTTTTTTAAAAAATGTAACCGCATAATCATCTCCTCTCAGACTTCTCATACAATATAACCCCATAATCATCTCCTCTCAGACTTCTCATACAATATAACCCCATAATCAGCTCCTCTCAGACTTCTCATACAATATAACCCCATAATCATCTCCTCTCAGACTTTTCATAAAATATAACCGCATAATCATCTCCTCTCAGACTTCTCATACAATATAACCCCATAATCATCTCCTCTCAGACTTCTCATACAATATAACCCCATAATCATCTCCTCTCAGACTTCTCATACAATATAACCCCATAATCATAACAAAATATAACAAAATTATGAAGAAGATAATGGTCATTATTTATTGACAAACACATTTTTAATAAATAGCTAAAAATAAATTATTGTTTTTCCAAATCATCTTGTAGCTTCTTACACTATCTCAGGCACAACCAGTTTAGTATCAGTGCACAACATAATTTCACCTGAAATAATTGTTAAAAATATTTCTCTAATAATTTAAAGTTGAAAACAGCACTAAGCTAAGTCTTTACAGCTTCAATGCTCAGATTCATACATCTTTTACAGCACTAAGCTAAGTCTTTACAGCTTCAATGCTCAGATTCATACATCTTTTATAATAACACCACCTCCATTTATATTATACATAGTCAATAAAATTACAGTACAATACAATGCACAGTTATTTTTCAATTTATAGCAATAAGATGTCAAAACAATACTAAATGGAAATAGATCTCTATCTTTTTCTTATATTTACATCAGGTATAATACTGCATTAAGGGGCCAAGCAATAAACGATGTCACACTATTTTTTGATGATTTTTAACCCCCACCCCACCCCACCCCTTCCTCTTCATCCAGCCTCCCTATTATTACAATATTTAGAAACTTACATAACGCACCATCATAAATTTGTGACCCCCTGCTCCACTCCTAGATGCATGACATAATTTACAGATGGCCCCTGATAATACAATTAGTAGCCATTGTACACATGAAACTAACTTAAAAATCCAGACAGTATGGAAAGTTTATGCATATGAATTATTATGTATTTCTATGGGAAAATGTTTTCACCGAATCTAATTAAAAGACAGATCATAAATAAGGGATATAGTGGAACATTTTTAAGGGCCACACGGGGGGGGGGGGGGGGGGGGGGGGGGGGGGGAGGGGGGGGGCTGTGTTTGTAAAAAAAAAATTGAATGTTTAATAATGAAAAGAGCCTTGTTAATTAGTTCAATGCTCTGAAGCTCCAATAGGAAGTGAGGAAGACTCTCAAAAAAAAAGGTGAAGGGATTCAACAGGAAGAGTGAGAGAAACCTCAAAAATGTTGAAACAGCTAAATGGTTCGGAACAGACACAAATGAAGAGAATTTGTGAATGGGCTATGCACCACTTCTGCAAAAAATGCACTGAAAAACTTGATGATAAGTATACTATAAATCATGAATTGAATAGCTTGCTGATTCAAATGGCAACCTTTTCTGAACTCAGAGCCAGGATTTTTAAATATTGTTTCTCGTACATAACAGGTCTTTTATCCCAAATTTTGGCCTACCTTTCATGACAAAATGTTTTAAACATATTTTTATAGCTTACCTCTATCCATGACATATTGGATGATATTATTAATATTCTGTTCTGCAAACAAATAGCTATGGTGATCTTATCTCACTCTTAAACTTTTCATAACCTTTTGTTTTACTAGGTACTAGGTAGAGTATTAACAACGACTAAGCCTGTAACCCCCCCCCCCCCCAACCCCTTTTCTCAATAGAAGGCCAACAGTTGCATAAAATAGTGTTCAGGTAAAATGTCTCTTATTTGTCATCTTTTGATCCAAGCAATGAAATCTTGCGCACTTCAACATTACCAGTAGTTCCATACAGTGTTGCCATTTTTTCCGCTGGAAGATAATAATAACTTATTATAAAATGATTGTCTTAAATATAAATATGTGCTTAGCTATGGAGTATGATTTAAAGATTCTCCTACGTTCTTTTTCAATAGTATCAATTAAGTTTATATCAATGGCTTCATCAATCACAACTTGTGTGATTTAAACTATTTAAAAAATAGCTCTGCCATCATAGTTTACACATAAAATATAGATTTTGTGAATTAAGCCAAATCGACAAATAAATTGTTTAAAAAGCACACAACTTACAAAAAAGTGTAAAGCGTCAAAAAGTTTTTGGTTTAAATGCTACTATCAACATGGACTAAATGTTCAATTCTTATGGTGATTTATTAAAGATAATCTATAAAAATCTTTATATTTAAAGCAGTTATTAAAGTGTGTTTGTTCTGTTACTTTGCAAACACTAATTGAAATTGGGGTTCGTTTCCTAATTGCTAATGATCACATGACAAACATATAATTACATACCACTACTTTTTTGTTCCCAGTCTGGATTATTTTGTGCTGCTTTTCTGTTAACATATGACCAAAGAGTATATCCAAATAAGTTCCAACCAACAAAAATGAAAATGTATGGTTTGATCCGCTGCAAGGGATTTTTCAAGCCTGGATCATTGAATCGATACTTTTTCATTTTACTTGTGCTGGTAAAGAAATGCATAAAAACAGTCATTTAAGACAGTATACAGGGCTATTCATTTGATTTAACTTATGTCCTATCTACTTCTACAAACAACTCGATAATTAAGCAGCTTATCTAGTACTTGTAAGATGTTATGTTAGTTCGTCAGTCGAAATCGATCAAGACCATTTTAATCTTTGGTGCTGGGGATGATTCTGCCTCTGGGTGGGCAGATGGCTATAAGACTGATACTGGCAAGAAATGTTCTTGTGCAGTAGGTGCTAGGGATGGATGGGACATCTCCAGGAGCAGAGTTAACTCAGCATTTTTGGTTTTTCATTTGTACTCTGCAGTGGCTTTGAATTCATGTTGTTTGGAGCCTTTGTATAGATAAGGATGAACACCATGATGAGCAATCCGTTTTTTATTCTTCTCACATGTCTGGGTTTATATTTAACCCTTTCAGAGAATCTTTTAGCTTGTCTTTCAAACATTTCTTATGTTCACAGGAAACCTAACATGCACCAGCTCAGCATAAAATATTATTTAGGCTTAGGGCAAGAGGTTGCCTGACATTCTCACAACATGTCCTGTCCAACAAAGCTTGGGAGACCGGCCTGTGCCAGTAATATTTACTTAGACTAATTTAAGATAAGAGAAAATTATTTATTGATCAAATAAATGGAACTGTTTTTTTAACTACATTGTAAATATTCATATAAATAAATAATTGTTTTTAACCACGACAACAGTTTACAATTATAACAATATAAACTCAAGACATCTAAAGTATTTCTCTAGCATAGAAGTCAGCCACAAAAGAACTCCATTAGTGATAATAATGACTTAATTAGTGATCATTTAGATTTGGTCATCGCTGGGGGAGCATGCTGGTAAATTCGTACAGAGTGGGAAACAAAATAATTTTTATATCTTTCTGTCCTAACTTTAAGAGAAAGAATAAGCTTTCATCGAACTGATCTTAGGTATCTATGATTAAGTGGGTGAGATGTATCATCCATGATTTGGGACAGCTTCAGCAAACCAAAGTTGACCAGGGAATATTGTACCAGGTATTCTTCTTGGTTTCTAGATGAACACTTTATTGAGCCAGACCTAAAATTTACCCAAATTTTTTAAGCCACTATTGATAACATTAAATAAACGCGGCATTGAATTTTTTAATCAAAGGACTGTATTCTGGCATTAAATATCTGATGATGTCGCCTTCAGAAAATTCTATGCCAGCCGGAATTGGTGCTATCAGGCCATTTAAAAAAACAATTTTCTAAAAAAATATCTAGATTTACATCTAACATATTGCATAAGTCAATCAAACAGCCAAAAAAGCAGATCAAGATTAATCTGCTAAATGGCAGATTGTTCAGTTTATTAATTATTTGCAATTAACCTGTGCAACCCTAATAATATGATTACCAGTAAGTAGTATCATATTATTAATTATGATAGTACTCATCTGTCATTCAATATCTATGGTCATGGTCAAAGTAGCTAGGTTGCTACTCACTGTCAGTACACGTAAGGTACACCGCACAGCCTCAACTGAAAAAGTGAAAATAAAAACTTTATTTCATATTTTGCACAGAATTAATTTTAATAAATTTTAAAAAATTACTATTAATCCATAAATAGGTCTAGCAGTATCACTATCAGTATATTTCTAGCACTGGTCACTGGTATAGTATTAGCATTATTTAATGTTATGTTTTATTGACTTGAATTTTAATATTTAAATTTTTTGTAGGCCTTATTTAGGCTAAAGCTATTTAAATCATTAAATTTCTAAGTGAAGGGCAACGGCAAGGCCGAGTCCAGTGGCATAGAAAGACATGGTGCCGCCCGGGACGCACTAAAAACCATCCACACTACCCTGGGAATTCATAGTACTTTTTGGCACAGTGAAACCTGGAGTGGAAATAGCTAATCTTGAAATAGCACTGTCTCATGTACTAACTGGACCCAGAAGGTAATAATTAACACTAGCTGAATCTGCAAATAACACCCCTTTTGTTTCTGTCCCAGCGCCTAGGTCCCAAGTTGAGGCCGAGGGTTTGAGTTATCCATCCAGTTTTCACTGCTACAGTACTAGACTAGCCTGCCTATAAATACAGTGAAACATTATTTGAGTACATTTTCATTTAAGTAAAGTAATAAAGTATAAATAAATACACTTTTTAAAAAAAAAGTGTTATAAGTTATTAAAATTACCATTAATGTCATTAATGCCATTATTACTTTAACTTTAAGATAACAATAACAATAACAGAGGACACAAAGATTTTTAAAAGAAGAATCCAAAATTCAAGTTCTCAAATTATTAGCACGATAACTTATTTATATTTTTAAAAAACCACACAAAAAAAAAAAAAATACAAAAAATACCGGTATCTTGAATTGCAATGTGAACAGCTAAGCTTCAAGGAGTTTGGATTATAATAATATGTAGTCACAAAAGTTTTAAACCTTTTTTAAAATAACAATAACAATAACAAAGGAAACAAAGATTTTTAAAAGAAAAATCCAAAATTCAAGTTCTCAAATTATTAGCACGATAACTTATTTATATTTTTAAAAAACCACACAAAAAAAAAAAAAAAATACAAAAAATACCGGTATCTTGAATTGCAATGTGAACAGCTAAGCTTCAAGGAGTTTGGATTATAATAATATGTAGTCACAAAAGTTTTAAACCTTTCAATTACCTATATTTATTAGCACGGATATCGTAGTAATAGTGATATATTAGAGTTCTTGTAACTTAACGTTAGTAAGTGTTTAGGAATTAAGATGCAACCTAAAATATCAATTTGACTTGATATATAATTGGAATCGAATATTAAATTGATATTTATTCTTAAATTTTGATTTTATTTTAACTTAATATATGAACGTTAAAAATGTAAACTTCAAGACAAGTTTTCCATGCTAATAGAAAAGTGGGCGGTGTAACTGTAAGCGCGGGGAAACATGGCGACCTTACTGGACATTAAATCTTTAGTCAATTCAAAAACTGAAACATGCCATTTTTTACCATGTGAAATAGACTTTGATGGTGGAGCTAAAGTATCTAGTTTTTTCATTAAAACTGTATCTCAAGAATTTTCTCACGGTAAAAAATAAAATCATTACTACATGCATTTTATTATTTTTTTTTATGCCTGCAGTCGGGGCCGGCTCAAACTCCCGGCGCCGGCAACTCGGGCAGTTGCCCCAGGCGCCATCAGCGGACTTGAAAAATATGAAAAAGCATTGCATGTGGGCGCCATAGAAGATACATAATTTTGGCTACATCCGAGGACGGCTGCCATGGCGTCTTTTGTGTGTTTATTTTAGTTGCAGTGAATTAGGGTTTAGGTTAGGTTGAGGGATCGATTTAGAGTTCAGGTTAGGCATAGGCATAGGGATCCATTTAGGGTTCAGGTTAGGCATAGGGATCGATTTAGGGATACATAAGTGAAATTCAATAACATAGTGGCAGTCGTCCCCGTAAATTACCATAATTTTTATTGCAAAATACGGTTATTTAACCCATTCAATGCGTCACAATTTTTTTAAGGGAACGCAGTAAAATTTTGGGACTAAAATTCTATTTGACCTGATGATTTTAAACTGAAAAGCTCTGTTTTGTTATTTATCAAAATTATATCATGCTGCATATCCAAATGTAGGTAATTGAAAAAGGAATGTGTTTCTAGTATAAAAAAGTGATAAAGAATTACCCAAAGAAAATTTTTGGGGGTATTATTGCAGGTTTATGTAAAAAATTATTAAAATTTTTTTTTTTTTTTGCTTTACTCACCAGCTCAGAAATCAGGTAACAATAATCCAATCAAGTTCATATTTTTTTAAAATGAGTCTTATGATACATCCAAAACAACTGGAAAGTTTCATTGCAGTAGCTCCTGAAATTGTAAAGTTATGAATTTCTTTCCCAAGACACGTGTTAAAAATTTTTTTTCAAAAATTCAACAATAAAAATAGTTATACTCAAATATTTACACATATTTCACATATTTACCAAATATATACACAAATGAAGCTATTATTTTAAATGAAAGGCCTTGAAGCATCCTTTAGGATGGAGATGGGGTTTGGCTTCACATCCAGTACAATAGAAATGTGTGCGTACTCGCTTTGTTGCAGTTGAGCAATATGCACATGATCGGTCCCTTTCATGATAATCAACAATGTGCTGAGCATCATTAGACTTTTTGAGGCATCCGGACTCTGGAACCTTTCCTGGTGCTTGATTTAATGCTACTTCCTCTGTTAGCTGACGCATCAACATAAGTTTATACTGTTTTAGTCTCATTTTTACTTTGTTTGCATCTGCTGCTTGACAGAGTAAAAACAAAATGTACGAGTTCACCTGTGTAATTTCTAACAGCCAGAAAAAAATATTTTTCCAGCATTTCAATGTTTTTCGCTCATAAACACAGTAATATGTTACTTTTTGGTCTAGCTTATCGCAGCCATTCATTTTGTGATTATAAATGTCTATCATTTCCGGTTTATCCATTTTTTTTGTTTCGGTAACTTGTACACTAGCATCTGTGGACACCAATATGACATTTTTTTTGCCTTTTTGTCCCTGAAAGCAACACAGAGCATGCTCTTGTTTTGGTTTATATACCACTTCATCTCTTTTTGTTGTAAAGATAAAGTTTTTATGTCTAGTGGAAATCCAATGCGGTTGATATTCAGTGTTCCTGTGTTGTATTGGTTTTTGGCAAGAAGGTAGTCAACAAGTTTTCTTGACGTATAATATCTGTCAGCAAAAATTTTGTGTCCAGTACCCACATGCTGCAGTAAAGTATGAAAAACTTGCACAGCCTGTCCTCCATCTTTATCTGTTTCTGGGTTATAGGAGGTATTGGTCCCAAAATAGGTCAAAATATCAACAACATAACCCGTTGAGGAATCACACAGGCCAAATGTCTTGATATGATATTTGCTAGGCTTAGTGGCATTATATTGTTTGAATTGCCATCTGCCCTTGAAGCCTATTACCATTTCATCTATGCTAAGTTCCTGAAAAGGGTAGAATGCATTTATAAACTTATTCAAGAGTATGTTCATAAATGGTTCAATTTTATCTTTCCCTTCGGACTTTTCATCGCCACAGTGTAGCATGGAGTGATAGATGTCCTGAAATCTCTGTCTGTTAAATACATGGTGTATCCATGGAATATAGGATTCAGCAGACATAGACCAATAATCAGAAATAGCTGGCCTTTTATACATCCCCATGTAGATGAGAACAGCAATAAATTTGTCTAGCTCCTGCCTTGATATGTCCACCCATCGACTAAAGACAGAGCGTCTAAGTGCAGGTGTGTTCATGTGAACTTTCTTTTTAGCATAGGCATTTATAGATTCAACAATGTAATCTTTAACATTATCATCAAATAGTTCATTGAAAAAGTTAATAGGTGTAGGGTTTACAATGTTTTGAAGTTTAGGGCAAACTCCAGGATTTCTAAGGGGATGAAATCGGAAATTGTTTTCAGTTTGTCCTGTTAGGACTTCGGACCACTCTGTCTCAGTAGGGAAATAATTTGAACAAGTAGATTGACTAGTTTTCGATGAAGATTAATTATGCTTTGAAGTTGAAGCCACAGAATTAGTAGAACTTGAACTAGGCCTAGTTGGTGTTGATTTTTTTTTTTCCTTTTCCAATGGATACTTTTTGTCTCTTTGTAGTCGGAATATATTCCTCATCACTAGTTTCCTCAAATAATAAATTTTCGTAATCACTATCACTGTTGTCAGATTTATCGTCATTTGAACTTGAATCATCTAAGCAAATCAATTTACTTGCCTGTTACAAAACTATGATGTGTTGTAATTATGTATGTTCTGCCCCAACTGTTAAAAGTATGGGTGTTTGAAATGTTTATGTTTGTATAAACAAACAAAGGTCCCTTTCCTCTACGTTAGATTAGTACTGCTATTATGGCTATGTCTAGGGTATGATTAATTTCCTGATGAAGTATTCTACACTAATCCTACTTCACACTCACTCTATCATTCAATGAACTCTCACTAGCTCTCACTTGCAATTCTAGTAATACTTTAACTATACTACTAACACAAGAGTGGTTCAGCCCACAAATAAATATTTAATTATAAAAAAAACAGGACTATCAGCATACACATTACATATACTATACACATAAACAGGATAACAAGATACTGCCCAATATTAATGCATAGTAGGCTCTCAATGGCGATCTGGTCGAATAAGTAAGTCCCACACACACACCACAGCAGCCCTCTGCTCGGGTCACAATGTACTGCGGGGTTGGGCGGCTTGAACGGTAAGTGTCTCCGGTCACTGGCACTGCGAGGAGGTAGGTGCCGACTTTGAACTTTACTGTGGGTAACACACACAGTATATGCTACCGTCTTGTTGATTCCTTTGGATTCCTTTATGCTAATAACTGCGCCTCCTTTACTGAACTGTACTAACTTTAGTTCCAGATATTATTTATTGAACTATTACACCTCTGACCAAATGTTATTTACTTTACAAATACTTTCTGGTCAAATATTCTTTACTGGCCAAATGTTACTTACTGTAACTTGCTGCACGTAATTTACTTCATGTAATTTACTTCATATAATTTACTTTACTTTACTTTGCTTCAGGTAATTTACTAGGTGTAATTTACTTTACTTTACTATTACTGTAATTTACTTCAGTTTACTATTACTGTAATTTACTTCAGTTTACTATTACTGTAATTTACTTCAGTTTACTATTACTGTAATTTACTGGCTAGAAATGAGAATAATAAATACAATTCATAAGACATAGCTAAGAATTACAAATCACATCACATTATAAATTATTAATAGTTATCATATTCAAACATTAACAATAGTAACTATGGTCCTACCATTTTCTTAATAACATTACATCTATGACTCTACATACCAGTACACATGAATATGACAGTGAACAATACTAACCCAACACAATCGGATAAACACACTTTATCAGCTAATTATGCCAGCCAGGCTCTTCTGACATAATTCAGGTAAGAGAGGCCGATACATGATTTGGGCTTTCAATATATACTCTAAGTTTGGCGTGCTTGTCCCGCATTTAAGCGTGGCATTGCAGAGTCGTGTTTAAATGACTCACAAGCGTGGCTTGGGATTCCGTTACGCGTTGGTCATCAGAGTGACAACTCAGAGTTGGGACGCTCGACAAGAATGAGTGTATTGCTTAAACTGGGTCATGGCCAAAGTGAATAAGTTAATTTCCATTGTTATTTGAGTCTACTTTTATTATTTTAAGGCCCAGCCTAATTGTGTCATATCGCGTGGGGTAGCGATGAACGCGTGGGGATACAAGAATGAGTGTATTGCTTAAACTGGGTCATGGCCAAAGTGAATAAGTTAATTTCCATTGTTATTTGAGTCTACTTTTATTATTTTAAGGCCCAGCCTAA